CGTGCAGAGGAAGACGGTAAGAAGAAGCGAGTACTTAGTTTAAGTAAAAAGTAGAACTGTATTTATCATAGTTAATGTCTGTTAATAAACCACTATGTATCCTCATCTAACTATGTCTGAATACAAATGTGTAAATCAGTTATCTGCTCACCACTCATTGCGTGCATCTGTCGTGGCGCGTCTTCGTTGGTTGATATAATGGCCTATATCAACCAATTAGGAACTCCTCGTAAGTGCTGCAGACTATTTGTCCTTATGACAATATTCTATGAAAATAACTCTTATAGTTATATTCTATTAACAATTTCTAATAAATTGTTATGTAACGATTCACCCCGTTACACGTACACTCCGTCGCTCGTGGAATTCGAATCTATGCCGTCTCCATATTAGAGTCGCTAGCTATATGCTGCACAAACAGAAAAGCACAAGCATCGGATACAAATTGCTTCCCCCACTATCGATTTACTTAATATTGAATTGCAATACTCAAGTCCCGATTTATTCATCCTTCAGCAATTCGCTCATTGTTTCCTTCAATTTGGATGTAACACACTCAGTTGCTTTCATTACTCACTTTTTATCTCAACTTTTTACATTGAGTTTCCATTCTTTTCGACTTCATGCGCCTCTGCAGATCTGCTGGACCTTGGATGACATTATGCTGTAAATTATTCCCCAATGTTTTCACGGCTCAATCTGCTTTGAGATGATACGTTACATGACCGCCATCTCGTCGCCTGAATACATGTATGACTCCGCTTCCAACAAACAACCATGCTATGGTTCGAGTAGCTAGATCGTGCGCTTTCCCGCACGGACAGGCTGTTTAACCACGGCTTCTCTAACAATATCCTTGTCGCTTCATGTCTTATTTCTAGCAGTACATCACTAAGGCGACGGTCTCCACGACGTACACAGAAATAATCGTGCAGTTGCATGGGCATTATTCCCGATACCGAGCAAAGCATCTTCGTAATCCATACATCACAAGACTGCGTGCAACAGCGTGTCTGCACATGCATGTATTGTTGTAAGCTCCTTGGTGGTATAAAGTCCTCTACACTCATGCGCAAACAACGGCCTAAACCAGTCTCAGACTAATGTGAGTCTCTGGATCATACTGAGTATTGAGAAGTGTTGTGCGCCAATGTGTAGCTTACATCCGCACAAGGAAAATAAGTATGGGGCATACGAATACATGTTTAAAAATCAGGCTGGACATTCTGTCTTACTTTGCATAGCTCATGCAAAATGCAATGCGAACATTTGCTGTCCGAGATTGAATATACGAATTATTGCAGAGTGCTCGTGATTCCATTCGAGCAGTTTATATTTAGCTACATCTGTCAAAGGCACAACTCCGGGTTCAACGTGCCATAGTCGGTTTGTCTGACGCGGTACAACCCTTCGCTTTTGTCATTATGATCTTCTTTTGCATACCTGCCCAGGCGAATGCATCACGTTCTTGTGTTCGCGGGTGTCATGCTCGGCCGGGCTCACACAGGAAGTACTGTGTCAAGCTTTGCTTCAACGTACACCGTGTAGTGGGGTCCATTAGTAAACGTTTCGAGAGCTCAAAGATGACACGTGATTGCTAATTTCATTCAAACACGAATCTATGAAGGATGTGCACAACATTGCTAGATAGCAGAAGACGTTCTGTTTCGCAGTTGCGGCGATATTTCTTACGTTATGGCATTTGACTAATCGAGCAAAAAAATCACGATCGGACGTAGATGCAATCTTTGCGAGAATCATTGTAGTAGGATCACCATGCTGCACTTGTCGGGTCTTTTTCTAAACCAGCAGTCTGATTAGAACACGAATGCAAGGTAAGTCCTCTACGGCTATACATCAAACAAGGAGCAGACAAAGTGCATACCTGATAAAATTGCTATCGAAGCCACAGCGTAGAGTTGCCTTGACAATGTGCTGATCATGCTTAGTTGGAAGTACAGCAGGCAATACGCTTGCTCAATTCTTGGTGCTCAAGACCTCTTCGGACTACACGCTCATGGATCAACAACGATCTAACGCTTCGTCTATCGGCGGTCGTTGGGCGTTTTTCTCCAGCCACCCAGCCACATTGGCTCTATCATCAAGATTTCGTTGATATGTCGCTTGCGGAGAACACTGAACGAATGCTTGGGATGTCACTATCAGCGACTGCTGAACGGTAAGATTGCATATTTGTTCTTTGTTAGCGACCTTAGATTGACGCTTTCATAATTCTTGTCACCTGTTTATCTGTTACGTTCATTGATGCAGCGACAAAACTATACCTGATGCCTAAGATGATGAGTCGCCAGCACTGAAAACAGCAAGAAACATTGTCATCAACGTCTCACTCGCGCATCACATGGGCCTAATGCATCCAGGATCGGATGGTAAGCCCCTGATTCACACTTTACAACGCGATCGAATCGTCTATGACAGGATGCAAGCCGCGTCTATCATCACCAAGCTCGCTTCTTGACCACCTCAACTTGTATTTCCAGACGCTTCAATCAACGTCCGATGACCCACCTGCCTCGCTCTATATCCGCAAGGACCTCTTCGGTAAAATATCAACAGGTTGGTCTGAAAATAGTACTCTCAGCATAACTTTGTCACGCACCGGCCAACTCTGTTCTACTACACCAGGACCTGGACTTCGGGCGAAGTATCGATAGTGAACGCAATTTATTCGTCACAAGTTCTTCTCTCAATAGGCCGTTGAATGAAAGGGCGGCTGCTGACTGACTGCCGCCGTGATCTTCGTTGCTCATGTTCGCATGGAAAGCAAGTCCGATCGTTACGACACCGGCAGGATACACGCAACGTTTCATAAATGGTGCATTATGGACTGAGCACAGACGCAGCTGCCGATAATGTGCTAAGCCTACCGTTGAATAAGCTCGATCTAGACAAAGCCCTCCTCTGGCTGCACAGAGGCACACTAGTGTGCCTTGATTGCCCGTAAAGTCAATATTGGCCGACGCGCTAGTGATCAGCTGAATGCATGATCTCTATCAGTAAAGCGAGATAGAGATCGTTGACTCAAACAAGCTTTGCAAGCGCCGACCAAGGCGTTCGATGAATTATCGCTGCTAACTCACGGTAACAAGAATCCGTTGACAGTTTCTCGACAGTGTCGACGCGAAAGAGTTCGAAATGATTCCGTAGCAAGTGGTGGAGGCTGTCATGTGTCCTTCTACCAAGCATGTGTTGGCATCGACATTTCTCAAGTGCAAACAACCAGTACAAGACGCTGCTATCGTGAAGTGCTGCAAATAGGATCACCAAAGACACTACCAGGGACAGAATGTATCTGTCGTAGAAGCTGCTGCTGACAGCCTAATCGCACCGGTCCAGCACTGAAGCCACGGAGGTCTTGGACCTCGAGCGACTGCACGCAAAGAAGTAGTAAATCCTGAACGTCGATTAAGTGCTTATGCCCTATACGATATCGATGTGCTAGTGCTGCTTCAACTACATCATCTTCTCCTCGCTGGCTTAGTCTGCTTGGCTCGGCTCTTCGGTCATCACGGGGGCCACTTCGCAGAGGGCACGCGGGATCGGATATCTAGTCCGGGGTGCAGACAGGTCGCAGATAATGCCGCAGACCAGACCGATCGTTCACCCCCGATGGGCCGCTGACGCACCTGGACTGGCCGACCTCGATCACGTTCTAGGCAAGTTCACTTCGTGGGAATCGAGAGTCATGCTCGACGACCAGGCCAACAACTCGAAGACTGAAGTAGAATAGTAGGTACCAGGTGAGTGGTGACAACCGCTGTTGTCGTACCCCTCACCTCGGAGTGTCTAGGGTGTTGCTCCCCTTTCGATTTGCACGCTGCGCTGCCTCCCGTAACATACGCAGCGGCAAGAAGACCTCCCGCCTTTAATCCAGGCCCCACGATAGAGGACTTCCACCCAAGGTGAGGGGGCCGGTCGCCCGGCTCTTTCAAGGTCTTCGTCGCTTTCCTGAAGGCGCTGATTAGGAAGTTGCTGCTGCACGCAGAGAAGAATTGGACTCGCGCTTTGCATTGAGCAAATCGACATGAGCAGACGAGTCCATTGTTCTTCTAAGTATGCCTAAGACAAGCGTCGATGTTCCGTCAACACGTCGCTCGCAACTTCGTGAGTGTCAATGCGACTGACTGGTTGGGGCACAAATGGGTACGTACGTCCGACTGCTGCAGCATGTTCGCTTCCTGTTTCACGTACGACAGACGCGTGCACCCACCGGTTCTATTCGAGCAATTACTGCTCGCGAAAACAGTCGTCACAACCATCTTCAATGCAAGGGCACATCAGAACGATACACCGGACTTAGCGCCTTCGCCCGGCATTGATTTGACCTTCAACGACTGCATTCGAGGCCACGTTCCACCACCAATTATGAGCTTTCGTCGCACACGACACGTATCTTGGATGCATCGATGCGTCGGCACTGGCACGTTAAAGTCGCTATGCATTTCGAATCATGCCAGACCGCTCGCCAGCGTAACGCGTGAAACCGTGACGTACGGGCGCTACGCTAATACGCTCGAAGCGACGCCACCGAAAAGCGCCCGCTGGCTCGCGCTATAGGGAGAGCACTCAACCTCAACTCATTCGGGCGTCAGCGACGTCGCAGACACCATTGAGCCTCTGGCTTGCAATGGTGGGGGGGGGAGACGAGGTACGTCAGGACGAAAATCGAAGAAAACTACCACTTGGCGGCAGCAGCTCCGAGTGAGTGTCAGGCTCAGCCGTTCGTTCACCAGCCGGTGGTGGTTCAAAATAGAGTTCAGCCCGGACTCGAAAGCGCGAGTGAGTGAGTGCGTGCGACGAGAACGCCCAACTCGCATCACTTCTCCTCGCAGCTTCAAATCGATCGCTCAGTTTCGCTTTTCACCTGTCGTGCGCACACTACAGCGTGTGTCTCTCGAAACACAAACAACGCGGCGCCGCCTTCGCCCCCCCGCTTGTTCTTTTCCTCCTCATTCGACGGATCAGCCGCGGCTCTCTTCATGACCAACTCGGGCCTTCCATCGGTCGAACTTGCTGCCACTTCGTTCACTCCGCGTTCCGTCACGAGTTTACGCTCGTGGGCGAACGGCTCGGACGCGACCGAGGACCGCAACGAGGTTGAGGCTAGTGACGAGACGTGTGTCTTGTCGGGAAAGGAGCGGGCCCGACTCACGACCATGGCCAAGCGCATGACGGAAAATCTGCTGGAAGCGACGGACCTCCTCGGTGGCATTTCTTGGACTCGGGTGCGCGACAAGCACGGGATTTCGCTCTTCCAAGCGTACGAAGACACCAGTGCAGGGTCCAGTAGTACATCAACTGCCACCGGCGGTAGCACTAGCAGTAGTCGCAGCTTACCGTGCAACGTCCACGCGGTGTGCAAATTTGCCTGTGACATCGAAGACGTGGCCGCGTCCCTGATCACGCCCACGACCACATCCTTTAAACGGATGATGGCCACCTTGTCCTCGGATTTCCTCGATGGAGCTGTCGTGCAGAACATTGTCGAGCCTTCAGTGACGAACCCGCATCGCTACGTTGGTCTCAAGTGGGCGGTCTTCAAGAGCTCGAGTCCTTTTGGCAAGGACCGTGACTTGCTCATGCTGGAGTACGTCGACATGATTGAAGATGCTCAGGGACAGTTGACGGCCTTTCGTGTCATGGAGTCTGTGGATGCACCACCAGGCTTGTCTAAGTATGCCGAGTCAGCGAAGCGCACGCGCGAGCTTGTGCCACTCATGGGGTTCATGTACCACTCGACCACGAGGTCGGGGGAGCTCCGCATGACGTACACGTGCACTTTCAACAAGGACGGGGACGTCCCTGCGTGGATTGCCAGCTCTGCGATTCAGTCGCACGTGGAAAAGTGCATCCACGGGATCTCCAAGTACACGGAAAACTTTCGTGTCAGTCGAGAGGAGATTGTGCTCCCGCAGCAAGTGGTGCCCATGAGCGAGCGCGATCACTGCCGCACGTGCTCGAAGAAGTTTTGCCTTCGTCGTCGTCGCTACAATTGCCTCAAGTGTGGCGAAGTCTGTTGCAGCTCGTGCAGTGCTGTGCGTTGTGTCCAGGTGCCGGATATTGGCAAGCGCCAGCTGCGGGTCTGCACAGTGTGTGTTATTGAAGCTCGTCGCTTGTCACGCAACGCAGTGAGTGGGATGGAACTACCTCCTTCTCCACTCAGCAAGAACTGCTCCAGCCAGGTGTCTGCCGGCTCGAAAGTGAGCTCACGCAGGATGGGTCGTGCGCAGAGCTTTTCGACTGCGACAGATGAGGAAGTGCCTATACGCCAGTCGTATGACACCCTTCTCGACCCGGTACGCTCTCGACTCATTGAGTATAAGACGTTCTCGTCGGGTAGCGGAGACGGCTCCGTATCCGTTGGCGTTCCCAAGACCAGCTTCCCGGTGCGTTCTTTCAGTGACGGCCTTGTGATGCGCAACAAGGCGCTGTTTGCAGCCAAGCGTCGAGGCAGCCCAGCAGACTTGGCAATCTCAATCGAAGCTTTTCGCTCGTACCAGAAGCGCATGGGCAATGCCCCTCGTCATGGCGGGGACGGATTGGACGAACACGACAATACGGACGACGAGTCCACGACGTCATCATCGTCCGTATCGCCCACGCACTCAACTATGCGATCAACGTCGACGTACGACCGTACGTCTTCGAAGAGCAGCAAGAGTCTCCGTACAGGCTGTTCAGGCAGTCACAGTAGTCAGGGGAGTAGTCAAGAGGCTCGAACAAGTGATGAGGAGAAGCTCGAGATGAACGGAGCGTCGGGCCGAGCCAAGAACATCATCTCTGCTGCCAACAACTTGGCGCAACAAGCACGGAAGCTGTCGCACCATCGCATCTTGGCGTTGCAGCAGGAGCACGAGTTCATGGCACCCATGCTTCGCAACAATGGTGATGCTGCCAGCAGTACTGGTCCGGACATGCGTCAGCGATCTCGCAATAATTCCCAGACTAGCAGCTCCGATGCGTCTTCAGGAGGCTCTAGAGCAGTGCTGTACGCGCGCTGAGACGTGATGTGCTCGAGCCGATTGGTAAATTATGACAACGGGGCGGTGTGGACGAAGACATCGACGATGAACACGCAGGTTGCGGTCGAAAGCAGGTAAATTAGTGAAGTATGTCTAAAATGTGCGCAGTTGCACGAGCGCAGCTGTGAGTGAGTACTGTGAGGACGAAGCGATGCGTAAGCGGTGGAGGTGCAAGGGGTCCTGTTTTCACGTGGATAGTAGCAGTAGCTTCAACATGGGAATTGAGCACGTTATTTATTGTTAGTAGAGTTCAAAGAGCTAGTCGATCAGTCAATCGGATTTGGTAAACATAGTGCCGTCGTGATCGAGAATGTGTTGCCAATAATGGTCTAGTGCTAGTGCCTTTTCATCAGCGGTCCAGTTGCACCTGAAGCTGGTGTTTCAAGCGGTTGACAACACACTGAAATTATGCTGATGAGCTTCTCGTAACGCTTTGGCTTCGGAGCAGGACAAAGTGGATTCCCAGGTCTCGACCATCTTGTTAAACAATGCGGCAGTGAACTCAATTTCAACTTCCAAACGTGGCTGCATCATGTACGCAACTGTAATTGCTGTGAGTGATCTGCAACACGAAATCATGCAGCGACGTACTCTGATGGTACGGCACACAGAACGTGCCAAGGATGCCATGACATTGAAGCGAATGACGATATCCAGAGTGGCAAGAACTTTCGGTTTTGCATGCATGGGATCATATGATTGTTCGCCTATTTTTGAACGGCATTGGGGGCGTGAAATGGCCTGAAGTTACAACGTCCACCACTGGTCAACGGTCAAAAGGCTACCACCGAAGGCGACGGACAAACAGATGTAACTGCACGGAGCGTTTCCAATAACCAGCTGGGATTACAAAAGCTTACGAGCCTATTCTTAAGAGCTTCTGCACCACCAGCCGGATTCTAATGCACCCCCGCAGCCACATGCTCCAGAGCGAGCAGTCCTGGAACACATGGCGACGCAGTGCAGCTTGGCTGATTATTTTCTTCCCCTCTGTTGACGGTAGCATGTCTCCCGTTGCTACATGCTCTCCTTCTTGTAGGTCGTCGCCTACAAACGCTTGCCATTGTATAAACTCTTCGTGTAGTCGGGAAAACGAATGAACGGCGGGTACTCGTTCTTGCCCTGTTTGTCCGCGTACACACCCACGAAGGCCGAAGCCTCATCGGGCTTGGCGGAGGCCTTGGCCTCCTTGGTGGCCTTCACGACCTCAGCGCGCACCTTCTTCTCGAGTTCCTTGATCTCGTCCGCTGTAGCAAGTTCGGCCTCGATCATGCGTTTCTTCACCAGCTCAATGGGATCACGCGATGCACGCATCTGCGAGATCTCGTCGCGGTTGCGGTACGTCACGCCAGGGTCCGACATGGAGTGGCCGTGGTAGCGGTACGTGTTCATCTCGACAAAGATGGGGCCCTTGCCCTCACCGCACCACGTCTTGAGAAACTTCGTGCACTCACGGACAGCAAGCACGTCATTGCCGTCGCACTTAATGCCAGGGATCTTGTTGCCATAGGTGTAATAGTCCGTGTTATTCGACGAACGCTGCGTAGACGTGCCCATACCGTACTGGTTGTTCTCGATGCAAAAGATGGCCGGCAGCTTCCAGAGAGCAGCCATGTTGGAAGCTTCAAACACCTGACCTTGATTGGCAGCACCATCACCAAACATCGTAATGGCGCAAGGCATCAGGCCCTCGCCCTTGTGGTTGTACTTGCTAGCAAAGGCCAGACCTGCTCCCACCGGCACCTGAGCACCAACGATTCCCTGTCCACCGTAGAAGTTGTTCTTCTTGTTGTAAAAGTGCATCGAGCCACCTTTGCCGCCAGTAGCGCCGTCCTTCTTGCCAAAGAGCTCCGCCAAGACGTCCTTGACCTCAGCACCCCGAGCGAGCATGATGCAGTGATTACGGTACGAAGTGATCCACGAGTCCGAGCGATCCAGGGCAGCTTCAACACCTGTAGCCACGGCCTCTTGTCCGTCGTACAAGTGACAGAATCCACGAATGTTCCGTGCCTTGTACTCATTGTCGTTCGTGATCTCCATGCGTCGCATCGTGTACATCATCTGGTAATAGCCCAGCATTTCCTCACGGTTCGTTACTGCTACTTCAGCAGGTCCTTCATCGAGACCTGCATTTAGAAATAGAATAGGAACGAAAATAAACCACCACACCACACACGAGGTTAATTTCTAAATCAATGAAACGAAATACGAATAGGTCAAGCAGTTGTTTACGGTGTAGCACATAGGGGTCCGAGAGATCAAACTGGACGTCGCCAGAGGCGTTTGCAGCAGCACTGAACGCACGCGTGACGGGCGCGGCGTTCTGCACCAGCGCAGCAGTCGAACGGCGGAGCATCATCCTTATCGCACGAGCTGGACCCTACGCCTCCTTTGTCAATACGAATTGTGCGGTGGGAACGCAGCGGGCGGATCGGATCTCCGCTCAAGTACGAACGCTGTGTTCCTCGACCAATGGTGTCGCTGGATCAGAGTCCAAGTCGTGGATTGGTAATGTAAGTAAATAACAAACGGACACGTCAAATGAGCTTTACCTTCGGCTTACATGCACGCATTCGAGTGCCGAGTCACTCCAGAATCGCATATTATCGTCTTTTTGTCCAATCCGCTGCGTGGATCGAAGACGTCCTCGTTCAGCGCAATGGGGACTTGACATCTCGGACACTCACCCCCACAACCCCAGTCTCGACATGGCCATCAAGCGCAAAGCCCAAATGGCTACACTCGACGATGCTGCGGCGGCTGCTGCCTTCGCCAAGCGCCGCAAGTGTCCGTACTTGGACACGATCAGCCACCAGCTGCTGGACTTTGACTTCGAGAAGGTCTGCTCGATCAGCTTGTCCGACCAGAACGTCTACGCGTGTCTCGTCTGTGGCAAGTACTTCCAAGGTCGTGGCCGTAATACACACGCGTTCACGCACTCGGTCCAGAGCAGTCACCACGTGTTTATCAACCTCCAGACGGACCGGATCTACTGTCTGCCGGATAATTACGAGGTCGTGGACCACACGCTCAAGTCGGTGCAGGACGCGCTTCGTCCGACGTTTACAGCCCAAGAGATCGCACAGCTGGACGAGAACCGCATCTTGGCGCAAGACGCGTTCGGTGTCTCGTATCTGCCTGGATTCATTGGATTGAACAATCTCAAGCGCACGGACTACATTAACGTCGTGGTCCAGGCGCTGGCGCATGTGCCACCGCTTCGAGACTTCTTTTTAGCCAACAAGATGGCGAAAGTCAAGTCCAAGCTCGTGCTGCGTTTTGGAGAGCTCATGCGCAAGATGTGGAGCCCACACAACTTTAAGAACACGGTTCGTCGTGAACTAGGTGTGCTGTGTTTTGGATTTGGTTGCTGATTGAAGCTCTTGTTTTTGTGGATGTTTGTGGTGCAGATTAGTCCGCACGAACTCGTGCAGGAGATTTCCGTGAGCAGTAAGAAGCGGTTCCACGTTGGAACGCAGAATGAAAGTGTCGATCTATTGGCGTTGCTGCTTAACCAGTTGCATAGGGTATGAAAAGGAGGGGGAGAATGGTTCTTGTGCGTAAGCAAATGCTAAAACTGATGCGGTGTGTTGCAATTGTAGGGGCTTGGTGGATCGAGCAAACCGGGAAGCAGCATCATCCACAAGTGCTTTCAGGGTTTCGTTGAGGTGACAACAGACGACGAAACAAAAGCTGCTTCAGCGGATATTGCAGAGTGCCAATCAGCTAGCTCTACCACAGTTTCGCCGTTCTTGTACGCCACTTGCATTCGTCGCTTGTTTATTGTGCGTGCAATAATGATGGAGTCATTGTGATTGTAGGATGATGGCACTCGATCTGCCGTCAACTCCGTTGTTCAAAGATTCTCAAGGTGGAAACGTCATTCCTCAGGTAAGCGCAATCAAATCTAAACAAATTTGTTGTACTAGAGTGGCAAGCTGACGTTCCACATCGCTTTGTTGGTGTAGATTCCACTATTTACAGTGCTTGAAAAGTACAATGGTTCTCACGTCACACACGTGCTTCACGGCTCTCATCGACTCAAGAAGACCTATCGGATCGACTCGCTGCCAGCTTACCTGATCTTCCACGTAAAGCGTTTTACGCGAAACAACTTCTTCATCGAAAAGAACCCGACGATTGTAAACTTTCCTGTCAAGAATCTCGAGTTGCGCGATTACCTGACCTTGGACCACAAGGTCCTGTCGAAGAAAGAGCTTCAAAAGATGTCGACTCCTGAGTTGCGAACTCTTTTGCGCGATCGAGACCAGCCCACCAAGGTGCGATCACCTTTTTTGTTCTTGCGGACGCGGAGAAGGTTAAAGTGATTCGATTGTCTACCTTGTCACTGCAGGATTGTGTCGAAAAGTCTGACTTGATCGAGAAGCTCTTGCCCACCACGCTGCCATCAACGAAGTATGTGCTGTTGTTTGCATGTTGTAGTGGCCGAAGGAAGTAACATGGTTCAATTTGTTACCGCGACGCGTATCTGTTGTCAGGTACAATCTGATTGCGAATATCTGTCATGACAGCCCAGTGACAACGGGCAGAGAAGCAGCGTTGAAAACGAATCCGCTAACGGAAGGGAGCTATCGGGTTCACGTTCAGAACAGAGTACGCGTCTGCGATGTTTGTACACGAGGTCAACGACGTCATACTCATTCGCGTACATGCGCTTATCTGTGACAGGCAACCGAGCAATGGTACGAAATTCAAGATTTGCATGTTCAGGAAACGATGCCGCAGCTGATTGGCGTGTCCGAGTCGTATTTGATGATATACGAGCGAAAAGCATAACTACTCTGGACAATCTAGCTATGGAAAACGTGCTTGTCATACTGCAGACACTCCATATTGTTCATTCCATGCGACGAGGGCCTCTATCGTCGTCGCTGACACGCTCGGGCGTACTCGCTTGAGAGCTACCTGAAAGTCGGACGCATTAATTCCTCGGACGTCTTCAGCTTTTACACTCGCGACCTTTGCACCAAGCTCACGGATTGGACCCAAAGCAGCATCCTTGCACACAGCCTTGAGGTCACTGCCGGAATAGCCTTCGGTTGACTTCACTATGCGATTGATCTCATTGGACGACAACGAGAATTTCTGGCTGCCAAGTAGATGCCGGAAAAGCCCTTCACGAGAAGAAGCATCTGGAAGAGGCACTACCACACCCATACTCAGGGTCAAAACATATAACTGCTCGTTCAATGACCATTGCTTACCGTAAATGCGCTTCTCCAGGCGTCGTATGATAGCCTCATCCAGCTCTTGTGGAAGGTTCGTAGCGCCCATGACAAGAATCCGGTCCTCCTGTGATGATGCCGCTCCGTCTAGTTCAGTAAAAAACTGAAAGAGGTTCAGCTAGCATTACAATCGGGTAACAAAACGCACCTCTCCGTCAAGCATACCTGGTTTTTGATCCTTCGGCTCGCATCATTCTCCGATGTCGATCGTGCCGCCAACAGCGCGTCGATCTCGTCCATAAAAACCACAGAGGGCTGAAGTTCTCGTGCCATCTCAAACAATGCTCGAACCAACTTCTCGCCTTCACCAACCCACTTGGACGTCAAAGACGATGCAGATATGCTGCATCAAACAGTCATCAGCAAAGTATTCTAACCCATCGAGCACAAAGCAGCCGCATCGTAGCATGTACGGACTTGAAGAAAGTTGCATTTGCCTCCGTAGCGACAGCTTTTGCTAGCAAAGTCTTTCCTATCACCATGCAAGACGCAGCGTCAGCTTTGCGAGCTCCATTGACTCGTACATAACACACGAGATGTGTGAGTATACACATTCTGACCCGTTCCCGGCGGACCAAACAAAAGTACCCCGCGAGGTGGGGCCCGCAAACCCGTAAACAAATCGGGTCGCAATGTAGGTAGTATGACAGCCTCCTGCGCCATAAAAGTAGCACATCAATCCGTCAATTCTGTTGCTCGTCATCGTCCATAACAAGCTCGTCTAGTCGACCTGGTCATCAAGACCGCAATCATCTATGAAATCATAGAATACCTGTAAAATTTGCTTTGCAACGCTCAACCCTGCAATGTCCGACCACTGCACTCCTGGTGAATGGTCAAGCACCTCGTCCAAAATAGCATGAGCATGTGCTGCGTGCTCCTTCACGTACTTTGCTCTTTTCGTCTAGCAGACACGTGTCAGCTGGCCATGTCCAACATCTTTTGAGTTTACAAATCGAGACACCAAGCATTTCCAACCTGCTGGCTATTTAAAGTGCGTTCTGCAGGACCCAGCACAGAATCGAGTCCAACTGATTTCTACATGCAGCAAACATCAGACCACACGATCGATATTCACGAGCACTCCGCCTCGTTTTCAGTAAAAAAAAGTCCTTGGTGCTCTACAACTGACCGGCGTCTGCTTCAGTGCGTGCTGCTCCGCTATCTGATTCTTCAGATATTCCGCTCTCAGCATATACTCGTTAATCTTGTTTCTAAATTGCGTCTTGGCCTCATCGTCCGATAGCTCTACACAAAAAAGACTCACTCAGTCAAACTGAACCAGAGCGTAGTATCGGCCACACAGCAGACACATAGACGTCCCAGTTCAACGTACGCGAAAGCTGCGTCATCATCTGCTCAATACCGGAAGCATAGAGATCTACTGCCTCCTGGTATTTCTCCGCCTTGTCCGCCGCTACTGCCGCTTCCATCACCTGCTGGATGGCATCGACCCGAGGACGAGAGCGCCAGAGGAACATGGTTATCAGATGAAATTGAAAATGAGCGGTCAATGATGCGTTTTAGCCAATCGTTGACGTTTGCATGGGACACAATTGAACCTACAAACTATTTGGCCAATCATAGCACTGCATGGTGGTTTTGTCCGTAGGTGCAAGTTTTGAGCATGCTGCGTACAGCGATCACACAAGTGGCGCGGGTGACGGCAGCTGTCCGTGGCTATGGGGCTCGATTTGCCTCGATCAATGGTACGATACTGTGTATAAGATAGAGAGCTTTATCATCGCGCTGGAATTATCGTCTTGTGCATTGAATTGGCTGTGGCACACTCAAATGAATAGGCAATCAAGTTCGTGCAGGAATGGCACTCGAGATTGATGGCGTCATCTATCGCGTCGGCAAGAACCAGCACGTGAAACCGGGCAAAGGCGGAGCGTACGTGCAAGTACGTTCGATTGGAGTTCTTTTGATGATTTTTTGTGCATCAGTGGACGAGAAATGGCTTGGTATGGAATGCCAGCGATTTACGGCGTGTTTGTAGGCAGAGTTGAGAGAGATCAAGAGTGGAGCGAGGATAAATCGTCGCTTTCGAGCTGCAGAGACGGTGAACAAGGCACCGCTAGGACCGGATGAGCTGTTCCAGTTCCTGTACTTTAATGGGGACCACCTCGTCGTCATGCACAACACGACGTTTGAGCAGGTGCGTTGAGGGACGCTGAAGCGTGTGGAGTCGACATGGAAGTCAATGATCAACTGTGTTGCTTGCTACTTCTTTGTGTAGATGGAGATCGAGCGTGGTCTTTTCTCGGGTCGCCAACTGGACTTTTTGCAAGAGGGTATGACACTGTCGTTGCAGATCATCGAGAGTGATGTGCTGTGGGCAAACATGCCGGAGTACGTGACGCTCGAAGTTACGGTGCGTGCCACTCGAAATGCTTCACAATTCCAGACGCAGCTTTGACGTCGCATGATTCTACGTGTCGGGACCGTCTGTTTTGGTTTAAATGTGCTGTTAGAAAACCACCCCGAAAGGTGTAGCGGACACGGCGCTGAGCGTAAAGAATGCGACATTGGAGAACGGTGCAGTTGTGAAAGTGCCGCTGTTCATCGAGATCGGCAACAAGGTCAAAGTAGCCACAGAAGACGGCTCGTACGTCGACAAGCTGTAAAGCTGCTTCCCTTTCGGTGCACAGTAAGCACAGTCCACCATGCTGACAGTATAACCGCGACTTTGGCAAGACAAACGCTGTTGCCAGATACAGCGCAGGGAAGCGATGTAAGCTTTTGCGCGGATTTGTGGTGTAAACTCTCGGCCATTGCCAACCCTGCATCGTCACTTGCGGTTGTCACAATGACGCTGCCGAGTCACCAACAGACAACGCTGCTATGCCGCAACAGCTGCCGTGTGCACACTTGTACTCCCAAAAAAAAGCGCAGTGCGGTGGAATTCATTGCTGCGTTTACTGCGCCACATCATGAAATACCCGTCAACGATCGACGTCACATGTTGACTCAGGACCGTGAGCAACATGCATCGACCCGACTCGATATCTGAACTTGGTTGTCCTTACCACGGGAACGCAGTCCACCGAAGGGTTTCAACTTGCCATCGCTCTGCAGGCCCATAGTCCAAGCATTAGTTAGTGCCTCGACCTTACGAGCGCGTCAACTGTTCTCTAGTCCACGTAGCTCAATGTCTTCAAACCCCCAGCATGACGAGTTCGTCCAATCAAGTCGTAACTCAGTACTAGCACGAGATAGCAGCTGGCAATTACCTCTGCCACCTCGTGGCCTCCTCCGCTGTCATTCAAGAAGGCTGTGATTGGCATGGATGATGGATAGGATACGGAAGTGATGCTTGTCAAATTGATTTGTGACGGACCGTACTTAATTTGTAACGGGCCGTACTTAGTTTGTGGCGGGCCGTACTTGGTTTACTCCGTCTGTTGGTCTCCGTTACTTTTGAAAATAACCAGATTTACAAGGGTAGATTGAGCGATGCAGGCTATGCTGACCAAGCACATGCTAGGTTTGAGGCCTGTTTGTATCGATTGTTTTTTTTCGGACTTTGTTTTTTTCATGGACCAGGGATAGATGATGCATGACCTAACACATGATCATTGCGTAGTAATTGTCGTAGCGATTCTGTTTGCAACCTACCGCCTTTTGCAGCTTGAAAACGAGCGCGACCGACGCCAAGCAAACATCCAGCAGGACGTACGTGTTGTTGTTTTTTCGTGTCTTGCTTCCGTGTTTTTCGTGGTCTCTGACAGCTCATTACTCGTGCAGTTCGACACAGTTGTAGACTTGTTGCAAACGCATTTGGATACCAAGTACCGGGTACTTCGCGTCGTCCCATCACCAGATTCCGTCATCACGTTGCACGCAATCGTAATCAATAGCGGATCGGCGATCCCCCACGTAGGTACGTACAGCCTGGTGAAATGAGCGACCGGTTGCTTGACTCGAGAGGTTTCACGGCACAACTTGTTCATTCGGCCGTCCTAGAGGCTGAGGTGGTCGTGGATCAGCAGCATGTACTGCATCAACGCAAACAGGACCAGCGAAAACGTGCTCGCCATGCATTGCCATGTGTTCGCTTCCAAGTGTACGACGTGGATACGATGACGCCAATTGCAGAGGTCTCGTTCTTGATACTTGTGGTTGAAGCAAGCGTGCGTGATCAAGGCGTTGACTTCGTGTTTTGCGTGTTCCTGCAGATGCTCCAGCAACGGAACCTCATTGCACCGTACAAACGGAGCTATTCGCCGACGTAGCTCGAGTTACAGATTAAACATGTCAATCTCGTCGTCTGATCCAACGAGTGAATCTGCGGAAGCCAAGTTCTGCCTGCTCTTACAAGTCCTTGCTTTGGTCACTTTGCTGGTATCAATTGCTTGCTGTAGCTGATCGCCGGTCTTCCATGCGAACTGGACGACCGTGGCTGTTAGATTATCCAAGCTTCCTTTCTTGTACGCAGCCTTTACGATCGCGTCTGCCGCAGCTTTAGCATCGTGAAAGTGTGGCAGAGCGATATCAACGGCATCTTGCTCACTCATGACGTCCCAAATGCCATCGCAAGCTAAGATGAGGAACAAATCGTCGGTGAGCACTTGGAATCGCGCCACCTCTGGCTCACACGACACGAGCGGCGCTGGATGTTTCAGCGATTGATCACCAAATGCACGCGAGACTGCCAAATGTGTAGACGCTTCACGACGCATGGACAACCCAGCTCCTGCCGCAGAGTACACGCGAGAAATACCTGCAATCTTGCCCACATAGCCACCCGCCTTCTCGATCCGCTGTCTTTCATCCGGACGATCGGGTTTATGATCACTTGTGAGCGGCACACCTCGACCACCTCGGCACATAACTGCTCGGCAGTCACCTACATTTATGGTGTAGAAGCTCAGCGTGTTGTTGTTCTCCCCATTTGTTGCCGCAGTTTCGTCGTCATCGAAATTGACCGAGTCAGCTAAGAACCAAACTAAAAGAGCCGTAGACCCATCTTGTGACGTATTCTTCTGCAAGATCTGCGAATCCACTCGCCTGAAGGATTCTCTGAACGATTTCAAGAAGCAGCTGTGCAGTCTACTGCACCATTGCCACCTATTTCTCCGGCGTTCTGCTTCCTCGACCTCAATTTGCTTTGCTTCGCTGTCCATGTCCGCGATAGCCTTCGAGAGTTGGTCGGCTAATACGTGCAAATCGTCAGCAGAGCTCTCGGAAGCTGTTGCGGTAGTAACTGACCTCATCGCCTCCACTTCTTCGAGTTGCCGGCGCACTGTCGTCGCTTCTTTATCAAGAGCGACCTTGCGAGCTTTTTCTTGCATCGACTGAGCTCGAGAACAGCGTAGGCCTGCAAGCGCTTTCTCCCCAATAACCTGTCGTATCACTGAAGCAGCGGTCTTAACTAACTGCCGTGACAAAAAGTCCGCTGAAAATGTCCCGCCGTGGCCGTCAAAGATGCCAAATACTGGGCCAGGAAAATAGTCAACGAACGACACATGTCGATCTTCGTTGCTAGTTTTCATCCCCGCCCAGGACTCTGTCCCAAATCGTAATCCACAAATTGAGAAGTGTCCGGGCTGTTCCTGCTCTGTCCGATCAGTCTTGACTATATTAAGCAACTGGCAACTTGTCTTTTCTTTTCTGTCTTCCTCGACACTGTCCCCGTCACGCGTTTTCCGCTTCATTAGATTCTGCGTACTGGGCTGGTAACCGTCGAAAAGCGCTTGCGCGTGACTCCGGTTTGGGTGGTTTGTCTTCCCATTTATAGAAGTGTGGGGCCATTTGTTTTCTGAGCACTATTTGTGTACGTTAGTCCAGCTTCATTTATCCGGCACAGGAGAGTAGCGTGGGTAAATACAAAACTACTCAACCGCGTGCATTCGAAGTCCGGATCTTGCAGATAACGAACTCGCCACTCCGCGGTCGACATCGCACAGCAGTGGGCAAATACTGGTAAACAAGTAGAACACACATTGGTAAAACGAAGCGCAACGGATACAACACAGCATTTGCTCGAAAGACGCACACAGAGTCAGGATGTGCTGAAGACCATCGGACCCACAAATCTTCCACTGCTTGCAAAACACTCTCGTGTAGCACAATCACACAAATCGCGTCGTATCCGCCGGCTAAAAGCGTTGAACGTGAGGGCGCGCAACCACAACATATGTAAACGCACGATCATACCTCCGGGCACTCCAGCAAGCAAAACACCAGGAATCGCTAACGTTGCGTCCAAGATCGCTGTTTGTTCCGGTGGCTCGATCGAGACTCCAGCAGATGTTCCCATTTCACTTTGATGCCGACACGCGACATTGTCAGTCGTTTGAACATATAGCACGTGCTACAAGGACACACAGACTAGCCAGCACGACTTACCGCATTAGTTGTCGAAGACCTGCGTAGGCGGCACTCACTCTCATGAGTGCAGCCCCAATCTTAGTATCTATCGTACCCCACTACATGTACGAGTAGCATTGATTCGTCCGGTGGTGAGCTAGCCAAAGCATAGACGTCTCAAGGAATGATACTGCGCTTACCTGGTCGCGGTTTACAGCAGCCATATCTTTCCATCCGCGTTTTGTATAGTTAGTCTCCAAGTCGCAAATTTCAGCAAAGCCTCGCTCAACATCCATGATGTGCCGATGAATTGCATCGATCACTCGTGCTGCATGCTTAGGTTGATCGTTTTGCCACTTCAACACTTGTCGGACCATCGAAACAGTGGCCGATCCGGATGACACGTCTCCCATCAGGATGTGGAAGGTAGAAGGCAATCGGACAGACTTCTGTGGCACAGACTTTCGTGAGAATGTGCAATCTCAACCCGGTGAACAGTAAAGGTTACCACGCGATTAGAAGTGTTCCACAATGCGTGGTCTTTGATGCAAGGCGCAATCTTCTGCGGCTCTATTGCGTCTTCGAACGTAAACGTGTTCAATACAGAAACCGGAAATCGGGAATATAACTGCGAGCCAAAGCATGCTGCTGATACATCGAAGCCGCTTCCGATCTATTCGTACATATCACACCATTTTTGTCAATCGATCGTCTTGTAGCATGAAGGAAAAATCTGCAGCACGCACCTTGCGCTGGACGTAGCAGTGGCACAACTGGGCCAGGTTGTGCACCAGCTCTAGATCCCTTTGCCGTTCCTCAAAGCTTATAGTCGGTACAAAGAACGTCACAAGGGCTGCAACCAGTGACGTCACGAGAGCAGCAGAGCTTCCCATGCCTGTCTTCAATGCAACGAGCTCGCCATCCCGCTCTACCGTCATAATCAGTAATCTTCACGAAACAATGTCCATTGATAAAGCCTACCTTCGATCGTAGGAGGAAGGAACGCTTCAAGTGTCTTCAAGCTGTCGCGACAAAGTGGCTGCTTGGCATCTTGCAGCTAGTCAAGCACCACCACTCGCATCGTCAGTGTATTCACGACCACCTCCCACCCTCTGCGCTTACGAACCCTCTGCACTTGAGAATAAAAGTCATTGTCGCCCCGAAGTCGAACGTGAACCCGCTTCTTGGTCTCTGCTAGTCTCCGGAAAGCGTCTTCACTCTTGAACTCTTCTAGCCCAGCGATACCATTCACCGCACACAACACGGTGTTTTCAATGTACACGTTCCGATGCGAGCTCTTCCTGTTACGTGCCACACCAGTATTTTTACATCACTATCCCATAACTGTCCCTTATCGTCAACCACGAGCGCTCTATTCGTCGTATCACCTGAGCTGGAAGCGAAACGACCGTCCGTCCCTCTTTTCTTCGATCCAGCCGTCGATCAACTGCTTGAACTGTTCACTTTCCACTAGTAACGGGAACAACGGACGCCATCCCCTCGAAGCTGGCCACACGGTCGTGTCAGGTTCGATAACCTGCAAGAACACATACATGGCAAAACCCACGATAGAAACATAAGAACGCTTCGTTTCTAACACAGATGCTAGAGAAGTCGCTCGGATGTACTAGTACCTGGCTATTTACTTGCGCGTAGAACCTCGCAGTCGTCGACAGGACGATGCCCGTGTATTGCTCGTGAAGTACCAAATACCCGCCCGCGAGCAGCACTTTGCCAGGCGCAGACACACACGTTGGCTGCTGCATCGGTGACAACGTCTCGCTCTGGTTAAGTATGGCTGACTAGCTCGATGGAGTTTTCGATAGAACCACTTCGAGCAACTACTTCAGCTTGGACAAATTGCTCGAAATTGAGCGCCTGAGCGGGAACTATTGTTATTTTTCGCGTACAATAAAACAATAGCACACTGCGCTGTGATTGGCTGAGCGGTCAGTACTTATTCCGTACCAGTAGTAGGCCCGTAGCATGGCGTCCTTCCCGATGCCGTACGTGACTCTGCGCTGCGACTGCATCGCCAGCTTCTCACCTGTTGTGCATGTCGATTTCTCTTGTGTATTGAATAGGGAGCAGCATCTTAATCCGTTGCAGCAGCGCGCGGCTGCCGCTGCCCAGGTGTGTGACTGGACCAGTCCAGTCGTCCTGGTTATACCTGCCGTAGATGGTACTGAACGGTATGCACTGACTGTGGAATGCACGACCTTTTACAGGCGCTCTTAGGTCCAAGTCGATCCATCTCTCAACGAGAGATCCAGACGATGTTGGAGAAAAATGAGGCGGCGCTGAGGAGCTGGAACGCGCTGCATAAACAACAGCGTACGTCGGAGAAATACGTGGATACGATTGAAAACGATTGTAGGATGCGGTGTTGACTGTTTGGTGTTGTGGTTTTTGGGCGTTTTGTGATTCTTGGGTGTTGATGATTTGTGGACTCTTGCGTCTACATAGCTGATAAGACAAAGTCTGCAGAGCACAAGGAGTGGGTGAGGAAATGTGTAACATATCGTAAGCAGATTGGAGCTAGACTCGAGATACTGGCTTCGCTGGCGGACAAGCAGATTGCTCTAGAAGATGAGAAAAGTGCCGGGCAGAATGCTTCTCCTGCTGTAGCAGCAGCTTCAAGACAAGCTGCTTCCTCTTCGGTAGCAGTTTCAAGAAAAGCAAAGAAGTCGCAGAAAAAACCGGTGTCTTCAGCTGGTCGTGTTGCAGCTTTGCATGCTCAGGAGCAATTGACTCCCGTTGCTCCTCGGTCGGTGTATGCGCCGCGGCAGGCTTCGACGACGCCGACTCCGATACGCCCTGCATGCACGCGATCGACGGCGATGACGGTGTCGCATACGGCTGCACCGGCACCGCCGACTATGTTTCCTGACCCTCCGATGCCTGTTGGATTTACGTCAACGAGTCCGGGTATGTTTTTTTCCTCGGGACAGATGGATTCGATGGAAACGTCGGCTGGCTTTACGTCAGTTACATCGATGGCAGCCTCTGGTGTAGCAGCATCAGCCCTAGGCTACTCGATGGGCTCCACTGGCCAAACACTTACGCCAAATGCGTATATGACTTCCACAAGTGGACCTCCTAGCTTATCCGCAGGATTTACGAACCAGCAAGGCTATGAAATGGGCGGAGGTATGATGAACCTTCAGCAGCAGTTTATGTCAATGCCGATGCCAATGAACCTGGCGGGTGGAAATATGTACGATAACAATAATTATGGCATGCCTACGATACCAGCACCTACAAACGTATACAGTGGAGGAAACGGCAGCAATAGTAATAGTGATAGCACCTTTCCAGTGGATCCATATATTGCTCCACTCGGATTCGGCTCTGATGTAAATTTTGGATCATCTGGGTACTCTATGGGTGGTATGACGGGCATGCCCGTGCAGCAACACGAACATCAGATGATGGGGTCCATGAACGGGACCAATTTTGGAGCATCTATGGTGTCAAACAATTTCGGATATGGAGCAAGTGTTGACATACCGGCATCGTCATCTCATAGTATGATGCCGCAATCGCTGCCGGCACATCAATTCCAGCCTACCCCGCAACATTTTCCGCAACCAGGCCAACTTCCACAACAGTTACCACCACACACAGGAGGGAACGCTATGAGCTGGTCTCTAGATTCTGCGGTGTATGGTGAGAACAACGTGAACATTTTCGAAGGGTTGACAGACGACGCGTTCTTTCCAATGCAATGACGGATCTCCCTTGACTCAGTCAAGTTTTCATCTCGCCGCTTGTTGGTGCGTCGCTTGACGCGTTCGGGCTTGTTGAACTCATTCACTATCTTTGCAAGATGAAGCTACCTAACCGCTCTAGGTACAGTGCCTAGAGGCTCACAGTTTTACGGTGCGATGTGCCATGATGCAACACTTACACACACATGCTTCCGACGAGGACTGCAGTTTCCCGTGCTTCGATTTAAAATTCCGAATAATCAAGGCAGCACGAGTTCCACGGTCAATGATTGACCCGGTGAGCCAGGCAGGCTGAACGGTGTCAACTTGGACCAAACTTACCGTCGAGCGGGAATGCGGATGCTAGATTGAATTGATCAAGGCTGCTGTGAACCTTTTCGGGTCACGTGGTTAGAACAATTATGATCTCGCAGCGCATGCGTTCTGATAGCGTGTACGCTACGATGAGTGTGACTGACTGGATTGGGTATGCTGCTGGTGGTGCAGCGAATTTGCCGACACATGATAGCAGACTGGCTTGGGCTAGAGACCCTTTGGCTGTTTGCTCGTTTGTGTCGGCATTCGTGCTTGCAGCCCTACGAAGCTCGGTGACGAATTTCTGCTGTAAATGCTGTAATGTTGTTTACTGCAGAGTGTCGTATGTCGGGGACGAAGCAGTGAAGTGGACAGCTTGGAGGGTGCTGCCACGAAGCAGTGAAGTGGACAGCTTGGAGGGTGCCGTCACGTTTGTTTTCTGCGAAACTGCCACGGGAAGGACCGGACAGCTTCATTGTTTGATTGTTGCTCGTCGACCTGTGGGGTTGCTGACGCACTAGCTTCGTACGAAAAAAAGATGCTCGTATATGTCGGAAAGATGCTTTACAGCTGATGTTCGAGCTGCTTCATTGCGACGGTTGCGGACGATCGACGGGATTCTTACAGAGCAAATGGTGATACGGAGTTAGAAGGTTGTCTTCTGGCGCTGGAAGTGGTCACCGCAACTGGATCCACCCTTTATGTTGTCAGGAGTCCACGGCAAGTGGCGAAGCGTGGTTTTCTGAAAGCGATCTCAGGAAGCTGGGCATGACATAATGTTGTTGCTGGAATTGCTAGAAAAGCACCCGGCAAGAAGATCAGTTCGGGTGGTCGTCCGATACAGTCATGCTACTATCTGAAGAGCCACTCATCTATTCGGCACGGTAAAGAGGAATCTACGTTCCTACGAATAGTAGCGACATGTTCAGTTTCGGAGTGGAGACTGCCAAGAAGAGCGTGCGTGCGTGGACCCGGATCTAGGTTTCAATTACGGTGACGTTGGAAGATAAGCGGAGTCCACGGCCAGCTATATTCGATCATCTGCTTGATTGAAAGAATGGAGGTACTGCCTGTTACCTGCATTGGATCTTTGATTGGCGTCACTTTGCACGGATCGTCGGAATCCTGCTCTTTAACGCCATTGTCGTCTGGTACTGACCTGCCACGTCTGTCGTTGCAAGGTAGCGAATGGCAGGACAACAAATATTGCAAGGTAAATTGGCGGAACTACCGTTACTTCCAGCGCTGCTCTTATACCTTGCATCGCCTTCGTACTCTTGTGTGCGGCCCACCCGCCTATAAGTACGACAGGTTGATCGTATATTGCGGGTCTCGCTGGTTGCGCTGGCGCGAAACCTCCGTGAAAATACGATGCTTGAGCCACAGTGACTCGAGATACCGGTAGCGAGCCAAATCTAGCCGAAGCGGTCGTCCCCGTTGAAGGCCCACGTCTTCTTCTCCATGGGAGTCAACGTATAGACATGGAAAATACGCTGCCATACTGCCTCCTATAATCGCGATGCGGCACTGTTCGAGCAGAAGCACAATGCCCACACCACCTCCACATTCTGCAGCATGGCGCGTGCACTCGCCAACCGGTGGTCCATGTGGCATGAAAGTACGGGTGCAGCACGAATCTCCGCAGCACAGGTACTCGCCACATATTAAGCACAGACCTGGATCGCAGGGCGCTTTTTCACATCGCGTGCATTTGCGGCCTGCCATCTCGCTGTAAAGCTCGTCGAATTGGATGGGCAACTCGATTAATCGTGGTCGCGTGGGTATGTCACGAAGGATGAACATGCTAGCAACATAGGCCTCGCTGCAGCCTTCAGTGTGTTCGCACTTGTCGCCGGCCTTTGAAGCTCCCAAGTAGGCCTTGCTGAGCATACGGTCCATGCACCATCGCCAAATTTGGTCAAATGTAGCATCTGAGCTACGGGCGACGTCGATCAATGTTGGGATCTGCATCGTCCTAGTACTTGTGGGTGCACTGGTACCTTCATTCGCCAGACAGCGCCAGAATAACTGCATGCGGCGCACGAAAGCATTGTTTGCGTCTACAATGTGCTTCAGTCGGACGATTATATTGCTCGCGGTCGTGAATGGCTTTAGCTGCTCGGCAGAATACACCTTTGTCATTCGCTGCAAAAGCTGCAGCACAGCATATGCCTCAGAGCCCCCCTCGCCCAAAGCTTCCATTGCTCGCATCAACTCTTTTGCGGACCTCGTGGGAGCCTCAGCAGGTCGAGTACTCGTAGCACAGCCGATAGCACGGCCACTTCGAGTGCGACGCGGAGCCAAGGCAGAGTCGCTAGTCGCTGCCGTAGCTGTGACTACCATGTGCTCTGCCTCGGTAGTTGCGTCGGCAGACGATTTGTCTTCAAACAGCGATACCCCCTCAAGCTTGCCAGGCTGAAAAAATTCGGTATGCAGACGCTGTAATAAATCAGCAGCGCTGAATACTGGAATAGACCGCCAAATAGTCTCAAGTCCATTTGCGATCACGCTGGCCACCACGAAAGCCTACAACACATACTCCGTTAGCGTTGATTACAGATACCTTTACAGATCTCGTGACGTACTGTGAAAGTGTCCGCTACGAGCAGACCCAGAATAGTTCCGCGTAGACAAGCATCGATCGAACCAAGGACCTAGTCATTACAGACATTATTTATCAGACGACGCACTCGGCACTTATCCTCACCAGAAGTCAACAGCAACATTCCTACCTTCGTATACTTGCGGTACTCGCGGTTTGTCTCGGTATTGATTGGGCAGCAACGTTTCGCGGTTTCCCAAATCACCTTCGCGTCAGCACTATGCTCCAAAAGCGAGAACGTCCATCTGCAAAACTTCGTGACCGCTATCAGCGACTCAAACTCTTTTTCCATCGATGGGGGACATCGGTCTGTAAGTGGATCGAACGTTGAATTGCAGCTGGGGTCTGCACGACACTCGTCCTCTACAACAATCAAAAACGAGGCCAGGGTGAACGCACACGCAGACCACAGGAAAGGTGCGCCCTTTTCCAAACTGCCATGGGGTTCCCACAGCGTTTCCTCGTAATAATCCCGCCATGAGTCGTGTTCAGTATCGTTGTCACTATCTTCGAATTTACCGTCGCGCCCGAGCACTGAACGGTACCATCCAGGCATTAATAATTGTTCCGCTACTATACCGTCCCAAGAAGCAAGTTTCCCTTCTTCGTCGCGTATCGGCGCACCTATTGCACTTTTATACTCACACATTTCCCCGTTTTCGATGGAAAGATGAGGAGTCGATGCGGGGATTAAGAAATTACTCAACGTTTTGCACAAAGGACACAAAAACTGCGTCATTGCTGAATCCGGGTCGATTGCTTGAACGCCGTCAAATTCTTCACCGCGCATGGCTTTGTCATGCAATGAAGTGATGTAGCGTTCAAGGCATTGGATGTGCACCGCGTGCTGGCATGTACGGATGTGTAATCCACATGGGGTGACGTACAATTTGGCACTTTGGTGAGGCCGACCGAATCCGGGTGGCATTTGTTCCGGGCGAAAACGGGGAAGACTTACTTCTTCGTTGTCATCCCCACCTGGGTCACGAGTATTGCCACCACGAGCTGCGTTACGATCTCTCAATCCACGTGATTCAATCACATCGCCGCGACGATCCAAACCCACAGCGCCGCGCCCATCCACTGGGAAAAGTCGTTGGTCCTCACGAAGATCCAAAGCACTTTCAAGAACTCCGAAATCTTCTTCCGTCTCCAGGAGCTCACCTCCGAGCATCGGAATGTTTCCGTTCCCAAAGCGGATGCGATCATTGCGCTGGCGGCGAGTCGTCGGCGCTCGTGGACTGTTATTTGCCGTGTTATCACGAGTAAGGTCATCATCCAACATGCTGTCCATGTACCATTCAGGAAAAGTGCTTGCAAAAGCACGCAGGGTTGGCGACAAATTTGCAATATCAGATGAGGCCGAGCCGCCATCCGAACACAGCCCCATCTTCTCGACTATACTTTTCACACGGATACGCGTCTTCCTGCCCTCTAAGCCGAGCGCTTCGCTTGGCTCTGGTCTAAACCCAGGAGCTAAGACGGTGGACTGATGAACGTAAGCTGCGATTCCCATTTGGCCTGGATTCGAGGTGTCATGGCAAAGAATACAGCTGCAGCTTCGCTCATTATTTAGCTTTCGGTCCGTTGACGTAACTTCCTCCATTTGGTCAGCAGCCAAAGCCTTACGTTTACCCAAAGACGAACGGGTCTCACAAGTTGACTTGTCTTCCGCCAATGCATCCATTTTCACTCGCCCTTTTTTATCCGAAATGTCCACCATCGCTTGGAAATCGGCTTGACGCTTTGCCATTGCAGCCATTGCTCTTCTCCTTGCCTCCATTTTTCGTTGTTCTAGGGTCATCGACTTGGAAGGGCCACCTTGTACGGAACCACTTGATAACAACAGCGACACATTCGTCTTCTTTTGCGTTTCCCCTGGATCACGAGCAAACTGCTCAAATGTTTCTCGACAAACAGATGATTCAGCAGAAATTTTCCAAATAAGCCACTCGACCGTACCAATCTGTTCGCTATCAAGTAGAAGTGACGCCCGCTCGAGTACTTGGCTCAAAAGGTTTAGAAGTGACAACCCAGAGGTAGCAGCATTTGCCGTGTTTAGTCGAGTCCAGAAGTGATGATCGGAGCCAAATGACGCCGTGTGGACACCGTGGACCAGCAAGTGCAAACAAGTCGAAACGATAGCGTCGGAGACACTTTTCTCCGAACCTGCTGACGCTGACTCAGAATGACCCGAGGATAGTACCTTCCAAAGAATAACATGAGCAATCGCCACAGTACTCTCGCATGTCAGGATCGCTTGGACTGGGCGTAAGAAATCAACCGGAGGTTTGACTGCCTTCAATGGCTCCTTCGGGGGGCTACCGGGGGTAGCTTGCTTCGACTTCAGGCGGCACGTATTGCGGTGGGTCGTCCAACGATCCCGAGCTAGCTCGTGCGCTTCACGGTTCAAGTGAAGAAAGTACGGGTTATAGCTCTCTAGCATACCTTCTTTCAATTGGTAACGGCCCGGCTCAAGCCCAGATGATGGTACGAAATCAGACACAGTCGCGAGAACCGCTTCCAGCCGCGCTGTCGGGATATCATCCTGGCCTGATGGCAGGACAGCCAGATCAGAGAGCTTACTAAATGGTAGTGACTTTGCACACAACTGCTGCAGCATCTCTTCCGCCAAATACTCGTTATCGTACGTTGAACCAGTCGTGCTCGGAAGACTCGTGCCAAGTGTGATCACGAGACGCAAAAACTCTTCAAGCATCTGCAGGCTCTGTTGTTTATCTATTCCCTGTTCTACTTCCGCAAACCCAAGCTGCTTCACCAAACCGTCAGATCCTGTCAAGCTATCTTGATCGGATTTTGTTAACGAAGTATTACGAGGCAGTGTGAAATAACTGCCAAGTTGGAATCGATCTATCATTCGTGCCAAAAGGGCATCAGCGCCAGTCATGAGCACACCGAGCTGTAGCATCAGTGTGTCGGCGTCACGGTAGTGGATGCAATAAGGTAGTGCTGAATAGTTGTACAGCTGTGCCAGCATATTTTCATCTCCATTTCGACGCCAAAGATTGGAGTGGATTTGAGATGCCATCACCAAACATCGAAGTGGCATCTCCACGAGCTCCCATTGCATGTCAACCGGCAGTTCATCAAACCCAAAAATTCTCAAAATCCCGTCTGAAGGAATGGAGTCTCCTAAACCCGTTGGGCTAATGCAGACATGCCGCACAGCAGCTGTCAGGAAACGGTGTAAAGGTATGTGGAGCGAGGTTGGCTGGGATGCTACGTTAAAGTCGTACGTCATGATACGATCTTCTTCTTGGTTCCCAGCAACCCCTCTGTCCCCACACACAAGCCTCGTCACTGAAACCAACATCTTCTTCGCCGTTCGTTCATTGGCGCGGGTTGATGACGAAATGGTGGCTTCTATAATAGGGCGGACTATTGCAGCTACATCCACTTTAGGCGTTACAAACTCGACCGGGCGAAAACCGTTCCAGGCGATCGCAAAGATCGAGTGAATGCGAATACCAAGATTGAACATTGACAACCAGCTGTCTGATTCGTATTCCACATGATTTTGGTGAAAGCCCCGACGTACTTGAGGATCGCCGCCCTTATTTGCAAGCATAATTATCAAACGTTATTAGCGATACGATACGCTCACCAATAGCGATTCAGTCTCGTACCTGAAGAATGCTCAGACAAGAAAGCCAAATTTTCAAATTTTCCGCGCTACACACGAGATCGCTCGAGAGAGCACCGATACTGAATACGCATTCCATGTTCTCGACACAGTGCTACACCATCAGAGAAAGTGAGCTTACGATGGCTCTGTCATCACCCAAACAACACTTACCTTATATTTCTGACTGCTAAGAGCAGGGTGGTCAGCGTTCACGCTCCCTTTCTTGTCGTCGACAGCAGACTTAAGTACTGTGTGTAAAGCACAAAGTAATTCCCGAACCAGCTCCAGTTTACTGGAGTGTGCTGTGTACTTTTGTACCAGATGCGGTACAGTCAAGAACTGCTCGGCAAAATCGAAAATAGACTCGTTCGAATTGTCCAGGCCACGGAGGAACATACGGGTCATTGAGGCGTACGATTGCAAATATGCCTCTAGCATGCTAGCCCGAAACTGAATGTCAACCAGGTGCTCACGTAACAATGCGTGCAACCGCTCCACAGCGTTCCTTCGCAACGTACAGTCGTACCGCATGAGTAACGCTAGAGCTGATGTAGCAGTGCCAGCATCACTCATTCGATCCGATGCAAAATATTTTGCCACGACTACATCAAAGCTTTGCCGGACACGACCATGGCTGCGGTACGATGGACTCAGTGACACAGCCTTGATAAACTCATCAAGAAACACGTTTCTACAGCTGACGTGTTTCCCTCCAGCGAGCAAACCTGTAGATGCCACAGAAGCCGTGCCGCCTTCCGCACGAAAATCAAAGCGCTGACGCTGTGCTGCTTCTTGCTCGCATGCCCACATGTAAACGTCCTTACCTCCAGCAACGAGGCCAACAAGGACATCTAAAGCGTGATCGTGAAGGCGGATGCGGCGCTCCCTTACAAACTCCTGAACCGTCGTTTTCTTGGGCAAAGTGCTTGACGCGGGCATAAATCCTCGGAGGACGGGACTTCGGTAGTTTTGAAGTGCCTCCGACACAATCTCGCTCAGCCCATCTGACGTTGTGCTAATATAGTGCAGCCACTCCAAAAGAGCGGGCAACCCTTCCATCTGCTTTTCCCACCAAGTAGGTGCGACAGAGACGTTCAGTGAGCGACGCACTAGATTTCCAACAACTCCCGGGCATAATAGCAGCGATTTCGTTGAAATTGTTGCATCGCCCTGATCGTCTACTTGACTGACAACACTGCGCGCCTGAGATTTAGATAGACCCAATTCCGCGTACAGATGATTTATCACTTCATTCAGCGAATGAATATCGTCATTGTGAAGACGAATACCAAAAAGCACTTCATCGCTTGAGCCAATCGCCCCGAGCTTCACTTCGTTTGCTTGTGCCTCTAGCCTGCCACCAGGCCCGACAGTTCTCGATCCAGGTTCAGCCGTATACTGCGCCGATAATCGCATCGATCGCGTTGACGCTACTGTTGACCGACTTCTACTGAATGCAGTGCTCGCTTTACTTCCGGCAGCATCTGGTCCATCCATATCGCTTTGAATTGGTAACAAATTTGGCGGAATGTCTCTTGTAAACAGCTCCAACGCTTCTGCAAGCTCGAAACCATACTCCGTTCCCAGCAACACCTGAAAAACATGCTCCACAACTGCACCAATCACGACAGTTGCCGCTGAGCAAATGGGTTTCGGTAGCTTATGTTTTTGCACTCCAGCGTTCGACGACGTGACTCCTTTATGTCTCGAGCAAAAGCCGCTTTTCTTCCACGCCTAGCACCAGCATAAATTGTCAAAGAATACCATCCACACAAAAAGTCAATCAACATCAATCCCGACTGAATAAAAAACGTGGTTTAGCCACTCCGCGATCCAAACGTACGTGGACATCGCCACAGTCACAGGAGCTGCCAGCCGTGGTCCGCTGGAAGTACACGTCGTGTCCCACGTGGTCGCTGTGGACGAAACAGTCCTTGCACATGACGCACGTGGCGTCCAACTGGCAATTGCGACAGCTGTACGAGATCTCGTCGGCCGAAAAGATGGCGCCACACACGCGCTTGCGCTCATTCCGCGGCAGCTTCGATAGGATCTGCGTGGGCGGCAGCACCTTGTCTCTCGCACACAGCGACGTTAGCAGCGTGGTGCACGTAGTAGAGACCGACTTTCCCGCGCTGCCAGTCAGTGCCAAGTTGCTCTGTAAAGCGAAGCGCACGAGCGCCAGAAACTCTTCCTCGCGGTGCCGCGTGACCGTCTGCTGGGACGCAGGACGCGTGACACATCTCGTGTCGGCGTCTTTGGCAGCAGAAGCCTTGACCTTGGCCGCCAGCGCCTTCCGCTTCGCTGTCGCTGCGGTCTTCTTGCCTCGGATTGCTGCTACCATTGAGCTAATTCGATGAATGAAGGTCTTTTGTTCGAAGATGTGGTTTTGAGGTCGGGTGAGCGTATTTTGACCAATGAGGTCCATGGAACATGCTGCAACGCGGAAGCAGACACGATAGCGTTTCGGTCGTTTGACGTCGGGTGTATAAGGTGCGTTATCGCAACAGCTTTTTGATTTGGAGACTGTATTCGTGCGATCACCTTGAATGACTGTATTTACGTACAGACGTGACATTCACGGACACTGTCCGATTTGATACGAGCAGACTTTGAAAACTGTCAAGCTGAGGTCATCGCTAAACGGCATGAACACAGTGTTTAAGAGAGTAAGTGACCAGAATGCTGGACCGATCGCGGGATGAACGGTACGACGAACATCATGCACAAACAGTCGGCAGAAATAAAATAGCATTTGTTACATGGACGCCTTCAACAAGCAGCTTTTACAAGGACGTCACCCGTGCGACAGACTTTCGACTATCCCGATCCCTTTTCCCCTTTATCACCTGTCGATTTCCCGGCCCGACGATGCAGCCGCTCTTCTCGAATACGTCGCGCACGCTCACGTTTCTCTCCCATCTTTTGCTGCTGCAACTCCTCGAGCTGCCGCTTTGCAATCTCACGCTGTTTCCGTGCAGCCTCGCGAACGAGCAGCTCGCGCTTCTTTTTGTCTTCCTTAAGCCTTTGTGCAGCCTCTCTTCGTAATTCGTAAGTGATCCCCTTACTTTTTCGTTTGCCACCACCAGGCTGATCGGTTGGTCTTGATGATGTAGTCCTTCCGCTGTGACCCGAGCTTGCAGCAAGACTGCTCGGAGTAGAGCTCAGTGATATGAGGGGTGGGGGAGGGAAGTGGCTGGGTCCTTGAGCTTTTGCGCACGCCCTCGAGTTCGATGTATCCACCCTACTACGCGACTGCGAGTACAGCGGCGATGACGGTGAGGGTGGATCGCTCGAAACCACCTCATCTGCATCCGCTGTAGTCGTCAGATCCGTAAGAACATGCTCTATCGAGGGTGCTCGAGAAATCCGCTGCTTGCTCTCTTCTTCGCACAGCTCAATCACCTCAGCCTGCAGCACTTGCATCCTTTGCATCCTCGTTCCCTCTTGCACGAGCTTCTTCTCTCCACTAGTTGTCTCGATCGCCTCCGCCTGTTTCTTGTCCTGTTCTTGCTCCTTTTCGTGCTCAGGTTCTACTCTGTCCGACGATTGTTGCTGCAGAGTTACCACTGCCTCCTCCACTTCATCCATACTTGCAGAGACATCAACACTGTTGCTATCTTTTCCATCACTTGCACTTTTCTCCATCTCCTTCTTCTCGCCGTTGTTTGGCATGCGGACCTAACGTCACACAAACCACGAGGTCAAGCCACTGCATCCAAAACACCGTCACTAACACATCACAAAACCTGCTCGGCAGCTTGGTGCAACTTCTCTGCAACTTCTTCTGGCAAGAAGATGCACTCTCCATCGATCTGCATCTTGTTGTAAGCTTCCAGAATCAAATTCTCCAGTGCTTCGACCATCTTGTCTTCTTCTTCATTGCCGCTCGCAGCAGCAGCAGCGATTTCAGAGGCAGCAGACATCGGTAGAGCTTCGTTCAACTGTGAAGAAGCTCGTGCAGCTTCTTCGATACTACGTACTACTTGCGTTGCTGCAGAAGCGACTGCGTTGACGCTTTCGCCGTTCGCCGGCGGCGTCATCGCTTTCCAATTGCATCCGCATGGCAGTACTCTGAAACATGATACAGCTATGTCTATTCACTTTGAGAAAAATGGCTACACTTGAACAGTGCGCAGGTATAGTGCAACAGCAGTGATCTTAGACTTACAATTATTTACACGGCACTCGCCACCGGTACCTTGTCAAGGCCCATATTGGTCGAAGCGCCATCAGCTGTTGCTGCAGTAGGTCGCTGCAACGATCCTCCAAACACTGGCTGCATGTATGTGGCATCGAATGCCTGCCAGTTGCGGAAAAACGCGCCGGTCAGCGAATCCCCCGGAGGTCGATCAACAGTGCGATGCGTGGATGAAGCCATCTCTGAGTCCTCCATGTCGTCACTCATGGCGTCGTGGAATTGTGGCCGTGATGTGAGGATCGGAATCACATTTCCACTCTCGTCGCGGTTCGTCGTGATGAGTTCTTCTTCTGGAAACGCTAAAACGCCATGCAACTCGCCGTCGTAGTGACGTGCACTTCGTTGGACTAGCCGCGATATAGTCTCTTCGGATTCTGATGCAGTTGTTGAGCCCCTGTCTGTGTCGGATTGGCCGAGCTGGTCGTCGGCCTTGCCAGTGAGGTGGAAGGTCGACAGCAGCGGGCCCATTAGACCGCCAATAAAGATCGTCGTGATGAGAATCACCACAAGAGTCGTCGACTCAATCAGTCGGCGATGTGATGCTCCGTGTGGACCAACGTACGTCCAGTTCTTGGCCAAGGCAAAAGCCATCGATCCTCGAAGACCAGCGAGCCAGATGACGCTCATGTACTTTACTGGAATTCGATTTGACTGAGAACGCATGCAGTTGCACATACTCAGTAGCGGGAACACGTTGAAGAAACGTGAAACGATGCAGGCCACTAGTGTAAGACCGATGAAAGACCAGTCGATATCGTCCACGCGTAGAGCAGCACCGGCATTTTCTTCACTGTGACCAGCAAAGATTATGACCACCGACGTGCCCATGAACACGTACACAATGTTTTCGCACACAAACGCCAGCGTGTGCAACAAGTGTGTGAACGCATGCTGCGCCTCCTTCGATAGCGTATTGAAATGGTAGTGCGCCGTCATGGTTCCCGAAAAGAAGAGCGCCACAATGCCGCTCAGCTTTAGACTATCCGCCACAAAGTACGTGAGCAGACTAAAAATCAAGCACAGCGAGATCTCGTAACTCGGGTAGTAGCGCAATGTCGCGAAGAACCGACGGTTGAGCAGAAAAGCTCCACTAAGCGTGATCAAAGCACTCACGAGCAACGACCCGGTGAACATACCGCCAGTGTTAAGCACCACTCGCAGCAGCTGCTTAGCAGTAAAGTTGCTTTCTGCATCCCACTTGTTCAGCGTCTGGTACAGCGCAATTGCTACGGCATCATTCATCACGCTCTCGCCGAAGACGAGATTGAACAGTAGCGGCGGGACGTTGAGCTTATCGAAGCAGCTGAGCGTCGCTACTGTATCAACCGCACTGATCAGCGTCCCAAAGAGAAAGGCTTCAACCCACGACAGCTTGGTGACTAGACCAGCTAAGCCTGCGAGATACAAGATACCGCCCGTGCCGGTGGTAGCAACGACAGTGCCCAGCACAGCCGTACTCATGATTGCCGGGAAGTTGCGGAAGAAAGCCTGTCGCTTGATCGAGAAGCCTCCTTCGTAGATGATCGGTGGCAGCAAGACATTAAAAAAGAGGCTGTTGTCCAGGTTCAAGTGCGTGTGCAGCGCCGCGTGCTTGCCACCCACGATCATAAAGAGTCCCACGAAGAGTCCAAACATGAGCGCGAAACTGCTCTGTGACACCAACATGCACGAGTACTGTCCGAGCATGTACGACGCCATCACCAGCACGAACAGCATCAGCAGCAACAGCACGGCGTCTTCCATCGCTTTTTTAGCACTCTGGCTGCTTCTGATTGGCAGGTATTCTATTGTGCGTGAGACATGATCATTATTTCATCAGCTATGAGTTACCGGTAGGAGTCGGTAGGAGATCCGGAACCCTATCCATTAAGGTCCGCAGAAAAAGGGACGTCCGCTGAGCTCCGCATGTGCACTTGACGTACAGAAAACATGTCAAATCAGCCAATCAGATCGGTACGATGGTAATCTTCTTCAGAATATGTAGCGTACACCGTTTTTTCGGCGACCGATCAGACCGCGTGAAGCTCGTCGTCATCTTCCTGGACAAGAGTATCTGTTACATCTGTCTCGTCTCCTGCTCTCCGGATCGCAGCAGTCTCGAAGCCACCGAATATCGGCTGCATGTACGCTACATCGAACGTTTGCCACTTGCGAATGAATGCGCCAGTGAGCGTCTCGCTGCGCTGAGTCAATGGGGCACCGTCGCGCTCTCCTCCCTCATTATCGCTGTAATCCTCATCTCGAAACTGCGGTCGTGACGTGAGTACCGGGTATTGATCCATACCAGCTGCTTGCTCTCCCGCCGTGTTCTCTGCTGACGGCTGCGAGTCGTGCACATCGGTGTTTCTGGAGTTCCGACGAAGCGCGAAGTGGCGCGTGCTGCGCTGTAGCGCTCGTGACTGGTCCTCGACCCAACTCGAGTCGTGTCCAGCATTCGGTCCAGGCTCCGATTGCCTCAGCACGCTGTGATGATCGGTGAGGCGCAGCTTGGAGAGAATTGGCCCTGTCACGCCGCCAATCACGATTGTCGTGAAGAGGACGACAACGAGAGTGGTCGATTCCACAAGACGACGGTGAGAGCCGTGCAGACCAACGTATTTCCAGTTCTTCGCGAGTGCAAACGCAATGGATCCACGCAGAGCGACGAACCACATCACGCTCATGTGTTTGATCGGAATACGGTCTGACGAATCCCGCGAGCAGTTGGACAGACTCAAGAGTGGAAAGATGTTGAAAAAGCGCGCTACGACGCAGGCTACAAGTGTAAGAGCGATGAAATGCCAGTCAACGTCGTCCACGCTGAGCGCTGTGCTGGAACTGTGCTTTCGGTGGCCCGAGAAGATCAGGATCACTGACGTGCCCATGAACACGTACACGACGTTTTCACACACGAACGACAGCGTGTGCAGTAAGTGGGTGAATGCATGCCGAGCTTCACGTGACAGCGCGTTGAAGTGATAGTGAGCTGTCATGGTTCCCGAGAAGAACAGCGCGACAATGCCACTCAAGTCCAGACTGTCAGCTACGTAATACGTCAGTAGACTAAAGATCAAGCACAAGCTGATCTCGTAGCTCGGGAAGAAGTGCAGTGTCGCAAATACCTTGCGCTTCAGCAAGAAGGCGCCACTCAGTGTGATCGCCGCACTCACTAGCAGTGACCCCACAAACATTCCACTTGTGTTGAGAGCCACTCGCAGCAACTGCTTCCAGCTCAAGTTAGTGCCAACGTCCCACTTGTGCAGCGTCTGATACAAAGCAATGACCACTGCGTTATTGATCACACTCTCTCCAAACACGAGGTTGAACAGCAGCGGCGGGACGCGGAGTCGATTGAAGCACGACAACGTCGATACGGGGTCCAAAGCGTTGATCAATGTCCCGAACAGCAAAGCCTCAACCCACGAAAGCCTCATCACCATCTGTAACTTTCCAGCAAAAAACAAGATGCCGCCCGTGATGGTCGCAGCAACAAGTGTACCAATGACGGCCGTGCCCATAATGGCCGGGAAGTTCCGGAAAAACGCTTGCCGCTTGATCGAAAACCCTCCTTCGTAGATAATTGGCGGCAGTAAAACACTAAAAAAGAGGCTGCTGTCCAGATTTAAGTGCGAATGCAGCGCTGCGTGTCGGTCGCCCATGATCATAACGAGCCCCACGACAAGGCCAAACACCATAGCGAAGCCGCTCTGTGACACGAGGTTGCACGAGTACCGGTCCAGAACGAACGACACCAGGACTACGACGAAGAGCATCAGCAACAGCAGCACCGCGTCTGCCATGACCGCCGCTTCGACATCTCGCTCGTGCGGCATTTTCACGAATCATAGACAGTTTTAGCAATAATCGACAAAATTCAGAAAATAGCGCCACATTGGACTGGGTGAGATTTAACCGTGCGCGAACGACAGCTATTTTCAGCGGTAGTCAAATTTGGCACGACGAGCTCGTGCGGCTCCTTTTTTGAAGCGCAGCATGCCCATGATTGCGGCTGCAAGGCTGGTGCCGAACCTGTACACATTCGTCAGTTAATGTCTTGACTCTTTGGTACAGACTGCAGAGGACTGTCCCTTACCAGGTTGCAGCGTATCCAACATGCTTCTCCGGCGTCATGTAGAACTCCAAATACGACGCAAGACTCTTTTGCATGGGCTTGTCAAGCGTCACTTCAGCACTTGCGCCCTCAACCGCTATGAAGGAAGTAGAATGCAAGTATTAGACCAGCAAGGTGTCACACATTTATCCAGCACTTACCCAGCGCATCGACCATGACGGGCAAGTCGGTCGATGTGACGCCCATGGCATCAGCAAGTTCTCTCTGGTCCACGTAGAAGAAGTGGCGATTTTCTGGATCGTTGTCTGGCGTGAAACGGTTCCTCTGTAGTGCAAAAAGCATCGTTAAAACGGTCCGCACGATCATTGATTGATGTCGCCAGATGCACGTACGACTTCTTCGTGACGAAGCACGCCGACAAACGAGACGTTCACGTCCTCCTCCTTCTTATCGCGTGCCATGTGAGCATCCAGAAGCTCGCGAGGCAACCAGCCTCGGTTCACGATCACTGGCGTTCTACACAACACAGCAGGACTTATGTAAATGATTTGCACAATAGCGGTAGCCACCAAACAAAGTCCCACCCATTCTCTCGCTCCAGCAGCGAGTAAATGTAGCCACCAGACTTCACGGTTGCCACCGAATCGTTTGGGTCGGCAGGGGCAGACCGGGGATCTGTAATACGAACGCACCCATGATGTCAGGTACCCAACAGCTATTGCATCAGTAGCTACCATCTACTCAAGTCATCTATCGTACACAAGTAAAACGTGCTGCCAGGCTTGAAACGGCCGTCCACACGAAGCTGGCGGTACTCGATGTCATCTCTGCATCCGGTACCAATACAGAAAGCAAGTCGTGAGTGCATTCATACAACAAGCATCAGCATCACCATCAAACTGACGTGGCATCGCTCGCTGTCGCGTTCTTCGGCAGCTCAATGACCGATTCCGACAGCTCCTTGGTGCGCTCTTTGACCAGATCCACTTTCCAGTAGTAGCGTTCGACCTGTTGTGTTCAACCGGGAATCACCGAACGTTCACAATCAGATCAACGTAAAGAGAACCTTTGCATCATCTCATCGGTCTACTTTACCTGCCACATGCCCAGATATGCCGTCGTTGCCGTCTATTGCAGCCACAAACAGTAGACTCGTTACCCTCACAACCCTCGCTATTCGTCTTCTAGTGTATTTCTATTGCCAAACGCACCACTGCGCCAAAAACCGCCATGCCAGCGTATCGGGAGAAGCTGCTCTCGTTTCCAATCGGCTCCTTTGTTGCGGTTCCTTCCGACACTGACGCGACGAAGCGGCTCGTGGATAGGCGGGGCACGACTCGAAGCAAGCGACGTCCGAGCATTTTGAAGTTTTGAGAAACCGTTATCGTGGCACAAAAGTTAAGAACTCTGACAGTTGGCAACGACCGGTTGGATTTAACTGACATATTTTGGGTTATCAGCTTCTCAATTAACAGTTTGGGTTACGTTACGATGCGGACAATCCCGGTACTTGTTGTATCCACCACGACCATGAATTTCGAGGCGGATGGCCACATCTTCGGGAACTTCCACGCATACTACAGCTTCAACCCGGTGCACGAGCGCTTGCGGTTCATGGACGTGCCAACGACTACCGCACTTAGACGGGCGCTACTTATAAAAGAATCGACTGAAGACGCGGCAGACGAGACGTCCACTATCATTGACATTGGCTGCAACGAAGGCGACTTGACTATCGGTCTTTACAATGCGCTTACTGGTCGAGAAACACTTGCACCCCCTGCCAGTGTTCCAGTCGACGATGCGGTCAGCTTTGATCTTGCTAACATTTGTACTCTGAATGAGCGGGTACAGAAGAACAAGTGGCAGGTGGAATACGCGATCGAAGACCATAGCGAGACCGACCATCGCAGGCGCTATGTCTGTGAGCTGCAGATCAACGACAAGGTCATGGGTCATGGTGAAGGTGTATCGAAGAAGGTAGCAAAGGCCAAGGCGGCTGAAATGGCTCTGAGATCGCTGGATGACAAGAACCAGGTTCAGAAAGAGAGAGAAGAGGAGGAGTCTTCTGGTAATTCGAATGGTGTTCTTGGACAGCTTCCAGTGACAGAAGACGAGCCAGTGATGAGAAAGAAGCTCATGGTACTGGGTGTGGATCCAGACGAGGCGCTGATTGAACGTGCCGCCAATAAGCCCGTGCAGTTGGATGAAGGAGATGTTGTGCAATTCCGCCGTGTGGACGTCATGACGAGCAAGTTTAGCAAGGAGATTGCTCCGTTTCTAGAGCTGGCGGAGCGCGCGGCAGCGAAACGCAAATTCGATCTCGTCACTTGCTTTAGCGTGACAATGTGGATTCATCTGAACAACGGAGACGACGGCCTCTGGAAGTTTCTGGAGACGGTCAGTGACATGACCGAGCATCTGCTCATCGAACCTCAGACGTGGAAATGCTATCGGTACGTAAAATACTGCCAGGATTTGTTATGAGGTGACGATTTCGCTGACTCGATCGTTGATCTCATGTCGACAACAGTAATGCGCGGAAGCGGCTGAATCGCAGGCACGTCGAGGTGCCCCAGTCTTTCAACGAGATCAAGGTTCGTGCGGACGTCGTAGAGAAGATTGATGCGTTCCTGCTGGCTGGCCGGTTCCGCTACAAAGCTCAACTCGGCACGACCAATTGGTCGCGAAATGTGGTTCTCTACAGCCGCAAGCCCGTGCCTGGAATCATTTATGTCTCGTGAAGACGGACAAGTTGCACAAAATTTTGCGAGTGACGACAGCATTTTTCCTGTGCTCAGTCAGGCCAATAGAGCGTACGTCTATCTCGCTGGGCTGAACTCATCATCGACTTTACGTTGCGCTCATCATCGACTTTGCGTTGCGCTGGTCAGTAGTTGGACAGCTAGAAGACTCCAGTGCCTCATTCTTGGCTGGACAGTATGAGAAGTGCAGGATTTCGGCAATCCTGTCTGGCTCCAGCGTTCATGCTGATGCTGGTTTGTGCCTGTCTCGGGTCCACATTTCCCATCGTGCTTTCTCAATAAATTGTCATCGCACTCCGTGGCAAAACTGGAACTCGTAAGAACAGCATGAGGCTGTCAACAGTGCTAATGCTGTACAACAAATATCGTGTTTCGCCGACCGTATAACAACTGCATTGCTATGCAAACAAGTTCGTGTCTCGAGGACAAGAATGGTCTGTTAAGTACGGCTGAGCTCTTCCGTGCCTTGTTTCCACACCGTCAGACGATGCATCGTAAGCACCCCCCAGCTAAGTGTCATATACAGGATAGCAACTGCAGATTCGCACATGTTTCCGACAACATCCGGACGCGCTCTACACACTTGACAACTTCCCACTTGTGCAAAAACGAGGCGGCGTGGACATAGACAAGCATCGCTCTGGCCGTGCAAATCAGCAATCGACCGAAACCATCGTAGCGGCCGCGCTTGCCCTCGCGGCTCTTTATAGGCGGAACGTTCTGCGGTCTCGCCACTTGACCCGACGCATTCCGACCATCTCTCGAGCTCATTTGACTTTCGGACGCTCCTCTCGTAGCGGTGACAATGGACGCTCCTTATTTCCTCACTGTTGCCCACGATACGCTGACCCGCACAGTCCTCCGCGTCCGCGACAGCGAGCAGCACGTCCCTTCGTCCACCGGATTGCGCACCGATGCAGTCCTAGCAGTCCTGATGCTTTTCTCCGTGGCGCTGCTGCCCGTGGTCGTGCGCGTGCGAGTTCTCTACACCTTTTGCTGGACGATCTTCACGGTGCTGGCGCATGTGACGGAGTCGAAGGCAGCGCTAGGCCTTGCTACGTCGCTAGGCCTTACGATCATGATGGGCTGGTACTCGCTCCGCGTGTTGGACCGCACGACGTTCATGGGCATCCTGCAAGGCTGGTTTGGTGCCGTCAGCAAGTACGGGTCTTTTCAACTACTGGCCAACTCGATCGACCTCCTGCTGCACATGGGCGTGCCGCTCGCACTCGTCTTCTGCTACCTGCCACTCGTGCGGATCTGGATGACTGGTCCTATTCTGATGTGAGTAAACTGCTGCTGCTGCTGTTGCTACTAGTTGCTGGTGGTGTCTGCTAAAGCTTGGGTGCTGACAACTCTCTCTCCTTTTCCTTTGTGCTTGTCCATCCTCATAGCTTCTCCCAGCTGTGGATCAAGCTGGTTGCAGACGGCGATCTCTCGCTCTCGGGCAACGACGTCTACCACATCTACCCTCCGCGGCCCAAGGCTTTCTGGCACGCAGCACACAAGATCGAGTTGGTCTATAACCTCACCATCCCGACACTGTGCGTGCTCGGGTGTCAAGCAGGTATCCACGACTTTGTAGTCGCCTGCTTGGTCGCACCGAGGTCGTAACTGTCCAGACAGCGAGGCACGCAGCGTCAAGAACAGCGAGACAAGAAGGAAGATAAGCTCCTGGCGATCTGTAGACACAAAACGCTGCGTCAGAAGAGGCCAACAACAACCACCTGTTCCGGACACGAGACCCGAGTCAACACCAGTCTGCTAAGCCTCTCCACAAATCTCCGGATGTCTTCAATCCAAGTTCAGCCCGAGTAGCTCCAGCCATCCCCGTCGACTTCACTTTTGCTTTTCGCTCTTCAGTAGCTCCTGATGGATGTGCCACTAGGATGGGGATCTTCTCTCAGTCGCGCGAGCCACGACGCTGTCCAGATACATGACCCCATGGATGCCGCAGTGGCCGTGATGCTCCTGTTTGGTGTCGTCACGTTGCCGCCACTCGTGGGTATCCGCACCATGTACACCAACTGCTGGTTCGTCTTCACTGCCGTCGCTCACGTGTTGGCGTCCGAGTCAGCGCTGGGGATCGCGACGTCCATGGGCATCACCATTATGGTTGGCTGGTACTCGCTGCGAGTATTCGACCGCTACGCCTTCACGGCGATTCTCAATGGCTGGCTGGGGGTCTGGACCAGTTCGCCGGTCTTGGGCGTCGCAGCTCGTGTCGGAGACTTTGTGCTCCATCTCCTGGTGCCAATGCTGCTCGTGTCGTGCTACCTGCCCCTTGTTCGCGTGTGGATGAGCGTTCCTGCTTTAGTGTAAGGCCCTCGAAATGGATGTTGTTGGTCTCGGTGCATTGCCACACTAGTGTGGACTGAGCTCTTTGGCTGTGTTGTCGTCGTTGGTGTTGTCTAGATCTTCGCGACTGTGGAGTCACTTTGTGGTTGGAGGAGGACTCTTCCCTAAAGCCGATCACATCTACCGATTCTCGCCGCCCCGTTCGCAGCGCTTTTGGAACGCTGCTTACAAGATGGAGCTCATGTTGAACGTGCTCGTCCCTCTCTTCTGCGTGCTGGCACACCAGGTAGTCGCGAGTTGATAGGAAGACACGATTGCGGTTAAGCCAAAGCTAATAGCGTCAACACCTGCTCTGGATGCTCGTTCGTGATAGAGATCCTTCTGGGTGTATGCTGCCACGGCCATTGCGGGGGCTGTTCTGTTCTGTCTGCAACTGATTCGGTCGCTGTTGTTGCCCAAGCTGCGAAAGAATGCCAAGACCATCATGTGTCGTCTGCTCTCCAGCGGCGGGATCCGACCGAATGTGGTACGTTGGATGACTTTGCTGTGATCGAAAGCTTCGTCGTCTCACGATCTGCTGCTTGGTGATCAATGGCTGGCTCAGGACTTTGTCGTTCGAAACGACTCCTTTTGGCTAGATTGGATGAGCGAGGGGCTCGTGGCTATCGGTGAATCCTATGTGGGCTCTCTGTGGGCGACAAGTTCTGCCCGTACGTTAGACGATTTGGTTGCTGGTTTTTTGACCATCCCGATGGAGGGCAGGCAGGACATGTATCGATCCTGGAGCGCTCGGTTTGTAGCTCTGGCAGCTCGCTTGTTCAACTATCCACCTTCATCAATGGGCCTTGTTGTTGGTGCCGTGTCGGAGCAATTTGACCTCTGCCCCGAGTTTCGACAAGCTTACATGGACCGATACTTGCACCAAGGCTTCGGGATGTGGACTCCGGGGACAACCACGATTCACGTTGCTCAATCCAACAAGCTTGCGAGCTTGGACCGGCTGCTCGACATCCGGGTAAGCGTGTGATCGAATAGCGCCGTCCAGTCGAAGTGGTGGACAACCTCTTACCTGTGTCCGTTATCTTGCTTCAGGCTGGCCACACCGTCTTGGATATCAGCATCGGATCATGGGGAGGAGTGGGCTGTTACCTCGCTCAACAACACCCGGTCGCCACTGTCGTATGCGTGTTGTCCTCGATTCAAGAACTAGCGCGCGCGAAGAAATTCGCCCGTGAGCTTGACGTCTTCAGTCGAATGGAATTCGTGCTCACAGAGACACCCGAACAGCTACTGTCACTTTTGGGTGGCTACCGTACGTCCAAGTTCGATCGCATCACACTGTGCGGCGTGATCGAAACTGTACCGGACACGCAGCGAACGCGATTGCTACAAGCGCTAAAGCACATGCAGACCGCAAACGGCACGACTTTGCTGGAGTTGAGCGTGTGCACAGCTGCGAACATGACGACCCACGCCTGGACGAACAAGTATGTACATAGTGCATTCCCGTGCTACGCAATCACATTGCCACGCATGCGGCGGTTAGCTCGAGAGACGGGGTTTACACTGCACGACACTCTTGGCTACTCGGAGCACTATGAGCGCACGTTCCTTGAGTGGAACCGCCGCTTCCAAGCGCAATGGGGCCACGACGCAGCACCGCGTTCACTTGGCCAAGCCGCGGCAACTGACCCAACGTCTCCACTGCAGCAAATGCCGTCTCTTCCGGAGTCGTTTAAACGGACGTGGGAATTCTATTTGCTGCACGCTGCCGCTTGCTATCGATCCGGAGCACTTCAAGTGTTCCAGGTCCGAATGAGCTAATCACAGTGCTCGCATCGAGTTTTGCGTCCCTTTATGGTCGACATCCCGTCTTCAAACAAGTGTCGTTCGTAATCTAAATTGCAGGATGTAAACATTTTGTGAGCTGTGATTATCTGGTGGGTCATCGATATTTCGCGGGTCGAGAATATTTTGTGGGTTGAGAATCTTTTGTGGGTTAAGAAGATTTCTTGGGTCGTAATTATCTCGCGGGTTAAAACTTTTCGGCGGGTCTTGAATAATCCAGTGAATAGCGCTGCTGCGCCCGCGTTTTTCTCAAATACAGACCTCTAATTGCAGCGATTATCACGCGGCACTCTAATGGCGACCGTAGACTGGGAGAAGCACGTGGATGAGGCATCCGGCTCCACGTACTACTACAACACGCGCACGGGCGAGTCTTCATGGGACGTCCCGTCCGACGTGTCCACTTTGCAGGAGCCAATGGCAAGCGAGGAGCGCCCGTCGCCCAAGTGGCGCGAGTTTGTCGACGACGCGTCTGGAGCCACTTACTATCACGACGAAGTGCACGGCGTCAGCCAATGGGATAAACCCGAAGCGGATATTACGTTGGATAATAAAAGCGATAAAATCGACAAAAATCCGACCAATTTGGCGACTCTGAAGAGCATAGAAAAGCCGAAAAACGACGAGGACAATTACGATTTGATCGTATTAGACCCGGAGTTACCAGTGGAAATTCAAGATGAGGATGTTGACTGCAACGATACGGAAGAGGCAAAGCAGGTGCAGGAGGAGCACAGGGACGAGGATCAAGGAGAAGACGGAGCATCTGTAGTGTCCAGCGATGGATCTGCTGAAGGTACAGCTAGAGAAGCAGAGAAGGAGAAAGAAGACGGTCAAGGTCCTGCTGGACCATGGGTGAAGTACGTGGATGCTGCCAGTGGTAAGCCGTACTACTTGAACGCCAGTACGGGAACGACACAATGGGATCAGCCTGAGGGGGTTGAGGAGTCACAGCCAGCTGCGCGTCTGTCGTCGGATCATCCCGTGTCTGCTGAGTACCGGTCTCATCTGAACCGGATGCACACTGAACGCTTGGCCCGTGTGACCCAGCAAGTGCTGGATCCATCGGGTCATCTCAGCAGACTGAATAGCATCTTGAGTAGCATCGATAGCAAAGCTTCTGCTGCTGTGAGTGGCATGAACGAAGAGCCCGCAGATGCTCCTCAGACAGCAAAAGCGGAATGGCAACAGCATGTTGACGCACAGACGCAGCGGTACTACTACCACAATGTGGTCACGGGAGTTACACAGTGGACCAAGCCAGACGCACCGATTGTCTCGGGGGTGAGTTTGCATAGCTGCTTGTCCGATGTCGACAGTCTGCCATGCGCATGTGACTAATAATTGACTGATGTGTTGTTGCTGAGGCAGTTGGCGAGTTGGGTCCCACCTAAGCTTCCAGATCCAGAGTCGACGGTTGCAGGTCATAAGACCGTTTCTGGTGTAAATTACGCAGCACGGGCAAAGTTCAATCGACTTACAGGAAAGTACGAGCAGCTTGGAGGTGACGAATACTGGCAAAATGCGGGCATTGCGGCTGATCGTGCTGGGCGTCAGATGAGCCACTTCTTTGATATGACCGAACTGGAGAAAAATCGTGAAGAAGCACGGCGTAGAAAAGAGCAGTTGAAGCGCAAGAACATTGACTGGAAGAAAATATCGGCAGAGAAGAAGGCCAAAAAGCAGAAGCAGAGGAACGAGTGGCTTTTCACTGATTAACATTGAAAAGTGTGCACCGGTATTGAAGATGCGCCTGAAATGCTGCGTTCGTGTTGTGGAATAGGCGTTGTGGTGACTACAACTTGACAAAATCAATGCAGTCATGTTTGTAGTTTAGTGGTTTGCTGACAAGTAGAAGCTGGTGATGAAGCATACGGTACGCGATTTCGATTTGGCCCAACTATTGAACTGCCGCTGCCCCATGCCGATAGAATACATCGACGAGTTGATACTTAATTATGGATGTTGTGCATCTTTGCATACCGTTCGCACACCAGAAAGGTCCGGTATGAGTTCACCTTGCACTTCGCCGATGAAAGTGTTAAAATCTGACGCCATGCCTTGGCTACCGCGCGACCAATTATGAGTTTTGGAAACACACCCACGTGTACTACAGAAATTTACCACGATTTATTGGTATTGCTGTTGGAGGCCGGTGGATGGGAGAGCTGTCGGGAGTCAGGTGCATGCACCGTCTTTGGCCACACTACCTTCGATACTTTGTCCGAATTGGTCTAGTTGACGACCTTGATGACAGCAGGGTAATCGGCGTAATGTTGAATGATGGGTACGCTGGCCTCACGACCGGTACTTGTTATTACTGTTCTTTACGTTGTAATTCTAGGTCGTCCATCTTGTGGTGTCAACGGCTTACAAGACACCGTCGCTGATGCCAACGGTGACGTCTTGCCCGTTAAGTCGTGCGATCGTGTCGGGATACGATACTTTGTCACGTTGTGGTTGACGCATTTTCTTCTCGATCACTAGCCGTACTTCTTGTACGTAGCGGTTACTGGAAGCATTGACTCCGATGGTTTCTGCCGTCTTACTGTGGTGCAACTAACCTCGCAATGAACGTCGGAGCAGGCAAGCACCTGTGGCGTCTTGATGTATAAAAGCGTTATGATCACCGTGTCGGCTATGGATGCCTCGTTCGTTGCAAAGTGGTCATAGCGTGTTAGCAGTCTGGTTGCGGTGTCCAGTACGTAGCTCTGACCCACACCTCAAAAGTTTCTGTCGAAGATTGTCGAGCTGCCTACGACAATAGGCCCTGATATGCTTATAGCATCCTGCAGCCTACGACAATAGGCCCTGATATGCTTATAGCATCCTGCAGCCTACTGCACCTGCCGCCAGCCAGTCAGGCATGAATGACGAGAGTAAGGTCTCTTCAGTGCGACGTATTCGAATGATCGAGTGTGATATATTTTAGTACAGATGAATACAAGACGACGGACGCCGAGTTGATAAGAACATGGAAAGCGCTTTGACTTGGATATACATGGTCAACAGCTCTGTACTAACATGAAGTTGCTGACTTGGTACGTGTCATATCGATGCAACAACCATGAGACGGGAGGCATGTGCATCGGCGAGATGTCAAGGATGATGTACATCATTCGGATTGTGTACGCCCTGTAAACCTGATTGCTTGTAGCTGTACTCGAAGTATCGTGTCATTGGGCCCAGGGCTACGCGCAGATAGTATGTGCATATGCCTTATCATTATGGAAGCATGTCGTTCATCTTGATGTATCTATCGCTCTGTGGTTCTACGGGAAGATCGACTGGTGCCCTGAGGCTGTGCAAGCAGCTAGATATATGCTACGACGTCGAATGTCACGAATCGTACACGGCCCAACCACGACATGAGATGGTTGAAGGAGAATGTGTAGCTACGATGAGTGGGGTTCGTAGCAGACACACATCCAGCGTCATACGTTCGATGAGGCGTGTGGAGGTGAACGAAAGTGCGAGTATGTGTGGGCTCTGCACTCTTTACGTGTTCGGAGCTTGCTGCATTGACGCTTGTGAGCCTTTTTCGTCAAAAACATGCGATATACCAGCCAGTGTGTGACGGTGAATAATTGGATCGCCGACGCATTTAATGTGCAGTTGACGACGACTGTCCTGTGCAAATGATGTATATTGACGGCATTAGGTCCCCGTATGAACGCTACTTGAGATCTGAAGATGCCTTGGTATGGCGATCAAGAGTTTCGATCTGTGGCTGTAAGCTGATTGACATTGCTGACGAATTTTTGGTCGTTGCGCAGACTAGAGAAGTGCGATTCTGACAGTCTTCGATCACGCACGTGCGAAGAGCTCCAGCCTGCTGACACCCTTCACGATTGTTTATAAACGCTAATGTCAGCGAGCAGCTCGCGGCAACATGTACAGCGAAGCCTCGTGCATTGCAATCGACGTGAACGGTCTTCGATGTAAATCGTAATGATCGGGATCCGAGACCTAAATTGTTCTCGGTCTCATTTGTGGCTTGCAGACGACTACGATGTTGCTACGTTTGACTTTACTACGTGAGGGTCGTGTCCGTATACAACAGCAGGTGTCGTACAATGGAGTGAAGCTTGGACGGACAGTGTGTGGAGAAACAGGTCGCATTGGTATTGAGGATCACGAGTCGCGAGAAATGACGAGAAAAGCACTGCTGTTGACAATTTATCGACAATTTATCGGGTTGTCATGACGAACGAGCTACCGTTGTGCGCAGCTCCTTGAGGTAGGTACACGCGTTTCATTTATGGATATGTTTGTTGACAGCTGAGTAAACGTCTTTGTATTGCAGGTTTGAAGAGATTGCTGGAAGGTCAAAGCCCGTGAAGCTTTTCGAAATAGCGTTTTCTGAATACACCGAGATCTTCGTGGAGGGTGGAAGTGTGGAATGTCGTTCTTGCTAACAACAGCCTGTGGTGTCATTTTGTTAAATGGGTAATGCTGACCTCTCTGAGAAGGAGAGAAGTGTCGTCCGCCTGTTGAAGATGTGCTTTAACTTGTGTGACCTCAATCACCAAGTTGCAGGCCAATGTGGAGCTGTGGAGTGCCCCTGTGGTGTGCTGAAAGTCAGAAGTCCAGCAGGGTTACAGTGGAGCTCATTGAAAGGACGGCTCAGTGCGAGATTCCTGTTTTTGGGTCAAGTGTGAGAAGTCCGATGCATCATCGTTGCGATGCAATGACAGTCACGGGAGAGCTTTCCTCGACTTCAGTGTGCTTGCGATGCTCAAAGCTTATTCTACCGCGTAGCGGACAGAGCGGCAGTCGGAAGAATCGATTGGCGATGAGAAAACTCTGACAATTGCTAGCAAATGGGCCGCGACTGTAGCTCGTGAAGATGGGCTGGCCGATGACAGCTGTGACATTCTGACATAACTGGTAGGGCTAAACGACAAGGATGCAAGTCCCACAAGCCAAAGTGCGGGTAAGCACGAACGTTTATCACGTCGAAGTCGATAGCACCCGGCAGAATACCACTGTCTGCATTAGCCGTGAGCATGTTACCCTCCTCGCGCATCTAGTATACCACAAGCCTACGTAGCAAACCAGTGGAATATAACCACATGCATGAACTACAAGCATTGTGCAGTGCTGGCATCACTCGACATCAGTCGTCCCGACCGTACAGTGAACGATGACCCAATGACAACGGCCCCGAGTTGCTCGAATGAGTATCGGCGATGTGCCGAACTGCCTTCGCGATCACGTTTCAACGCTGCGAGTTCGGTTGGTTCGACGACAGTCCGCCACCCATGCCATAATTGCAGATCTGACATTCTTGAGTTCGCCAGTGATACGCCCCGTTGACAACATCAAAGCCGACAGCAAACTCAGCACAGTACCGGTTGTACAGAGCTTCCCACTCGCCGAAAGTTACGATTTCGTATTGACGAGTAGGGGCAGTTCCAAGACTGCACAGCAAAGAAATGCAATTGCATCCGTAAATACCAAATGCTACCTCTTAGCAACAGTAAACACGACAAACGTACATTTGCGTAGCCTTGAGGGACTGTTCCAGCGAGAACCCCGACAAGAACAGCGAAATGTAGGGCGGTACAATCGTCCTCTGATGCGACAGACAGACCAACTCGGCATTCAGCACCGGCCCGGGATTTCCCCCGCCTTGACTCCGCACAAACTTTCTCCACTTGTTCAGCCACTTCTTTGGCACTAAAAAGTACGTGGCATATTTGCTCCGTCCAGTCACCGACAAATGCGGCGCCAACTGCTGGTGTCTGCTCCCTGCCAAGTCCACAGGCGAGAACAGTCCCTTTGGGTACCCATTCTTCCTCTGCAGCAGCTCGAGCATCTCGTCCGAGCCAGCAATTTCCTCATCAAACCTCACTCGTTTCTTCTCCTCGACCTCAAGCTCTCGAGTCTCGTGCTCCTGCACACAGACCGAACAGTCACGACACGACTCGAGTGGAAACCCCCTCAACTCTGGTGCATAGACTGCAATCTCTTGGAACGCGTCACCACTGACAATGGCGCGTCGACTGCGACCCACACACTGCGTAGCTGGCAGCAGTGCATCATGGGCACACACAATCATCGCGCCGGCCTCCACGAGCGCAGCATAAGCCGAGCTCTTGGGCATCTCGAGTCCCACGAGTTGTTCCTTGGTCTTAAGTGCGTTTTTCTGCCGTCGTTGCTGCCGTTTTGTGCGTCGAAACTGCTGCAAAAAGTGCTCAAATGCCTGGCAGCGTTTCTTGTAGGCGCCGAGCCACGCGCGACTGATGACGACGGAGCTGGAAGCGCAGGACGCCGCGTCTTCAAAGGGAGAGGCTGAGCAGCGAGCCAAGAGCTCCTTGATCCGCAGCAGCTCAGCGCCGCGAAGCACGACAAGCGGACGTGGCCAGTGGCTGGTGGAGGACGAGAAGAAGCTCGTGACGGCGGCAAATCGACGCGTGATGGCGCGCTGCAAGGCCAACTGGACGCTGGGGGTGGAGACCGAGAGCGCGCGGCAGGTGGACGTGACGTGCAGGACGTCTCGGGCCGCTAGGAGCGCGAACACGTCGGCCAAGAGACTGTCGGGGAGGTGCTCCATGGCGAAGTGATGAAAGGCCGAGTGGAGGATAGAGACAGATGGCTACACTGGTGCGAACTTAACGGTACGAAAGGAGGCGACAAACATAGTGGTAGCTGCTACGGGGGGTGGGTCGGGGGGTATTTATAGCACAAAGAGGTATGAGACGTGGTGGGTTTGGAACCTACTACTTTATTTGTGATTGAGTAGGCACCTTATCCAGTGCAGTAGGTACGATACAGCGGCATCGCCATCTCAGCTTGCGGTGAAATTTGTGCGCCAGCTGCGCTAAGTACGACAACATGTGACTCAGCTTTGCGCTTGACAAAGTACGCGAAGATAAACTTGTCTCATTGTCTAATATGCGGCATGCACGGAGTTGCTCAGAATGAACTCGTTTGGGTTTCTATTGATACGTCCGTCAATGTTGAAGAATCTGAAGCCGTAGGGAAGTTACGTGCGGTCATGATATAGTCAGTGACTGGCCATCACGGCGGTCTCACACTTGCCATTGTAAGCTCAGATGAAGGGCATGAAGCAGTCATGTTTACCTATCGGGCACGGCCTCCCAGCACGCACAATGCGCCCAAGGATGACAAGCGAATGCTGAATCAAACCTGGAATCCAGTCAGGCTAGAAAGTCAAAGGCACCGATCGCCTGCTGCTTTACAAAGTCCGAATCAACGCGCCAACTGAATTGTCGATACTCGAACGTGTCCATCCTATCGTCAAGTGCGCACTTTATTTCGTGCAGTTCGTCCGTCCGTTCATTCGTTATGCCCGAAACCTGCTGTCGACTCAGGCTTGTCACACGGATCCAGACCAGCCAATAGTCGATCATCTTAGATCTACGCTTTGTCCAATTCCAAGAGCCGATCAAGCGACATCCATTGACCAACATGCCAAGCTGCACGCAACTCGCTCGTGTTGCCGACCGCTCGCCCCTTCTACTACCACTACGAGTTGAAACAGAAGACGAGACGAAGGTGTTCTGCACTGTCGTGAAGATCCGTCCCACCCTTGTGCATTTCCTGGCTGACGGCCGCGTATCGGTGAGTGAAAAGCATCAGGTTTCAAGCACTGCCATTCCTCGTTCTAACCTTTGATACGTCTACCCGCCACCCATTTTTAGTGTGTGATCAGGTCTAAAGTCCCAATTGTTGATGTCGCAGACTTTAGTGGAACTCATTCTCCAGGAGAAAGTCGGAGACTCTTGGTCGCTGTAGCAGATGGCAACGTCTGGATAGCGACGCTGCCAGTGCAGTTGCAGTCGTTGGTTGGTGCGGGGCTGACGGAACTTGTACTGGAGAGATCATCGTGTGAAGAAGTGCAGTGGCTCTATCATTTACCTGGAGTACAGTCGGTTCAACACATTCAAGCAGGATTGACGTCGTTCACTCTGATGAGGAGTGTTGTGACGCCTTCGACGTTGATTGTGGGTACTAGAAGGAGCTCTGCGTCCAAGCTGCAGACCTACCAGTCACTGGAGCTGATTGATCTTGAAGGCGAGCAGTCTATGTGCTCGATTTGTCTGAATAGTCAAGAATCGAGGGAAACGAAGTTGCTGCAGAGCTTGTTTCCTGAAGTAGCAAGCTATGCCGGGGTGGTGGCTATTTTACAGGGAGATCTGGATGGAAGCGTACGGCTCTCTTTGATCCGTCATTCCTACAACGAGAAAGATGGCACGAAGGTGTCCACCATTTGCAGTGGAACGCTGTTTCAGCTGAACCAGCCCGTTCAAATGATCATTCCGTTCACATCTTCCCCGTGCTCGCTCTCTCCGTCCACAAAAGCAACGAGTGTAGTGCTGGAATTTGATGCACTGTTGCTCCTTGGCTCGAGAGGGCGTGTAAAGGCTGTTCTTTCGCGGAGAGGTTGCTCGGTAGATACTGTTTCTGGTCCGACAAAGAAGCTGGACTTTCGACAAGCTATACAGTCATTGGTCTTTGTGAGCAGTTTGGGAGCGTTCGTTCTATGCTCGAATGGGTCAGCGTTTGTGTTTCGCAGCACTGCTGTACTAATGAACTTGGATCTTGAAGATTCAAAAGCTATGTGTAATGACCACGCAATTCACGTCGAGAAAATGAATTTTCGACCGGTACGTTCATTATGCAGGTTGCCAGATACTTCCATACGCTGATGGAGGGATGTGCGTGTGCGAAATGTCAGGGCATTGTGCGCTTGGCAACACACGGCATAGTGCAAAGCATGTCAATTCTCTTTGTATCGGGGCGCGTAGTCACGATGGACGAGTCGTCGCTGTGCGAGAATATAAGTAGTGTGCTGCCACCTCTCGAGAGAGGCCAGAAGGGGCTGATAGAATCGACGAGCGGTTCTCGAGTTCGACACCTGTTGCATCGCATCGCACTTACATCGACTGAATCGTCTGCCTTGCGCGTCCGATCAAGCCAGATTGACAACCAACTCAAGACGCTGCACTCGGCGTTGGAATCGCTGCAACTTGTGAAAGCCCAGGGCGCGTGATCTTGAGGTTATACAATCTTATTGCGACCGCGACCTTAAATATCGTTTCTGTTGCTTGCAGGTGTGGAAAATGTGATCAAGTGCGAGGTGGGGGCATCAGTAGCTGAAATTGGCACGTACTTGGACCGACGCACAGTTAAGCTCGTGTGCCGCTTACATTTCGTGAACGACAAAGTCATTGCCTCGCTCGATGAATGGTACAAGATACTCGCGGCACTACTTGCTTGCTCCTCATGAGAATGAAGTGTGTCTGCTAACATCTATACAACCATCATGAACAGGTGGCTATGTATGTACGTCCGCACTCGCGAATGTGCGGTAACAGCTTACTCGTTCCCACTGAATGACGTACTTACGCGCCAAGGACAAAGTATCATGCTGGATCCAGAGACGATCGCTCAGCAAGACCAGGGATGTTTGTGGGTGTCATGCGCTATGATGTTCTGTCCCACCGGAGATCTGTGTCCAGAAACCAAGCATAGCGAAGCAGCCCAATTCAGGCCAATTAGTCCGGACATACCGTCATTTGCAGTTCCGTTGCTTCACGATCGAATCCCGCTTGCACAGCTGAGCCGACCTGTCGAAGAAGAGACTTCAGCTAGCCAAGTTTCCATTCACTCAACCTTCCATCAGAATCACGAGGCATTCATGCCAGTCGGACGAACAGGTAATGGAAGCAACACCTCGTCATCTGTACTTCGAGGTGGGGTGCAATGGTTTGCTGCATTAGCCGACCATGCCCAAAAGAGCGCATCATTTGCATCTTTGTGGTCAAAGATTGCCCCTCCACATGCACCATCTTTCGAGCTGACTCCGCCGTCCCGGTTTGTGATCTCCATCCCAGCATTCTTCGAAGCAGAAGGCGAAGACGAAGACATTGAAGACATCGATGAAGATCTCGAGGAGGTTCGTGTCGAAAGGATTGTGTTATTCCTCCGTCGAGTCTTCAATCTACACGGAGATGAGGTTCCACGCTTGCATCGTAGCTGCAGATCACAGCATGGAAAGTTTTGGACGGTGTTGCAGTCTATCTCCGGAAGTCTTGTCCTCCTGCGCTTCATTCCCTCCAAAAATGATCAACGATCCGTTGACCTCACCATCCAATGCTCAGATTTAGCGGATCTCTCAGCAGTACGTATCCATCAATCGAATGTGGCCATATTCGCGAGCGGACACATTGGACTGAAAAGCGTTGCACTCGTGATACTGTGCAGATAAGAGCTCTTATCCTGGAAGCGATTGATGACGAGACGGAACGAAAAACCAGCGCTGGCGAGCTCGTTGTGGACATGGGCGAAATACTTGACCCCATCGCAACTCTCGACAACCTTCTGGAGGTAAGTAGTTCGGTGCCTGACTTACGACATCCCGTGAGGTGGGTATTGTTTTCAGCTCACAATCGTGTTACGAACTATTTGCCAGGAGCTGACGCGCAGAACCATTACCAGCATCGTCAATCCCCATTCGGCCGTATGCACTGATGAAGTGCTTCATGCACTCTCACAGCTAGCGCATCTGGAGACCCACACACTCACACTTTACTGGAAGACAAGGTCACAGCGTACCAAAAAGCCATCGCACAAGAATACCTATCCATGATGATTACCGCCTCTCGAGTGGTACTTGTGTGTTACGTCGAAGCCGCGAGCTCACTTGATCGGATGTCAAGTGCGTAACGTCAAGAGAAATAATCGTGGGAGGTTGATGCTATGGCCTGAGTGGACTTGTCAAAGTCTCGGTCAGATAAAGGCATTTAGTGAGGTGGTCAAATCAACATCTCCTGGCGACACATTCGCACGATAACGGCTACGAAGATGACGCTGAGCAGACCGAAGATGGCAAGGCGAAAATGCCACGAAGAGGCAAGTAGCACGCATTCAGTGGAAGCAACAACTTCCCACCAGGTACTACCAGAAGAAGTACTGTTTTGTTGCAACATCCTTCAATGATAATAACCACCTGTATTGTGTACGCACAGCCGCGCCACCTAGGTCCCAGTGCGTATCCACGAGTCGTGAAATCTTCGATACTGCAATCTCACGCTGTCGTTGCCGAGTCGAGTCGTAGATGGTATCTCAAGGCTTTGGACAGATGCGACACGAACGCTTAACCTGACTGCAAAGCGCGACGGGACTGATGGTCCATTTCTGTGCTACCGGTGTTGCCAGGAGCCACGTGCTGATGCAATACTCTGTGATACTGGTCGCGGGATCAAGTCGTCAAGGAAGAAAACACCACCACACGTAGCGACTTTCACGATCGAGATAGAAGACTTGCTGCTCGCCGCGCAGACACGGCTACGGTTTGCGCCGCTGATTGTTGGACGCTCGACCGACCTTGCGTCCGACGAGATTGCAGCGTTCTAAGACGGCTACGTGCTCCACCTCGACCAGCAAACCAGCCGAGATTGGTACATCTCCCGCAACTACCGCCATGATAGCTTATGGATTGTCAGCATCCTTGCCCTCGTACTGTGTGCTTGCTGCCGTTTTTTTCTGCATGCTGTTGTCCCTGGAACAATGCGAAAGTATAGTAGGCAGGTGAAAGCTCGTCTCGGTGGTATTCACCTGAAAAGGCGTGAGCTCATGCGCATGCGTGTACATTGCGCCAGTGATACGTACCAAATCTCGGATGAAAGGTGTCCGCTGATGTTAATTTAACAAAAGTAAAGTGCTCGTAGTGGCAGTAGGTTGGTGTCACATGCAAACGCCTACAACGTATCTAGCAGAGACCCTGGTAGCGGAACAGTCGCCGGACTCGAATCAAGACATCGTTCCAAAAAAGCGTTTCGTCATCATTCTTGTCTACCTGCCACCGATTCACATCTGCTTTTCTCGAGCTCACGATACACAAACGGTTTATAGCTGGTCGATTCGTTGGCCTTTGTGTATCTTAGCTCAGGTGTGACTTGTCGTCGTACTCTTGCAAAGGTGTCGAGAAAGCAAGGCTAGAAACACAGAGCTTGTCGACGTGCTCGCATCAACTTCAAGGATCCCGTGGATGTACCGGCAGTGCAACTGCATGAATGGTTTACGCTTCGATGGTCAACTGTTACATCTTCTCACACATAAATGATCTTGAGTCGCAGTGGCAGTCAAGCGTTACCAATGTGTGCTTCATCACGAGCACTACAAGGCAACATCTCATGGCATTGAATACTTTATCTGCTCTACGCCCGGATTCGATTACAATAGACTGGACGCTGGCCAGCGTCTTGGCGGTGTAGCGAATGGAGTGACGCAGTTGATGTAACGCGCGTGTTATGCGTGGCCAGTCAGTCACGCTGTGATATTCACATTGAAGGTTCAGTAAACTTGCTGTTACGATCATTGCGGGAGTAGCGGTGCCCCCCCCTCCCTCTCTTCAAGACCAAACGTCACCGAAAGTTACTGGTATCTCGGCGCCAAGTTATATTACTGCAGTAACGAGTTCAGGGACTACTGTTACTCGCAGTAACGGATACCACCGCCACATACACTTTGTCGACAACCAGAACCAGTGATTCTACACGTCTTCTTGGTCGTTTACGACTCGTTGGAACCTCCACATACGTGTGCGAACTAGGATGTGAAGGATCGAAGGCCAGAAAAAAAGTCGGTGACTAGTATAGCGGCAACGCCAATCCCTCCGCCACGCTGCACAAGACAGAATCGCCACGTCGTCAGGGGCTTTCCCGCCAGATGGTGTGCAGGATAGAAAGGCCAGGCGTCGAGTCGGGTGGGTGTACTGGCTTTGTGCAGACTGTCCTTTCTCTAGCTCTATGCTGCGAGAAGAGAGCAGTGGTCGAAAAAAAGGCTCGAAGTATAAGATCGATGGACATAGCTGGTACGTTTTTTGGGTCAGAGGACCCAGTCTGGTCACGCTTTTCTCGACTCTTTTGGCTCAGCTGCGGTCGATCGTGTACAAAGAGTGGATGTGCATACTGAGCACAAGGTATTTGTTGTCGATTTGGTCCCGCTCGCTGCTGAATGGGTATGCGCCCGAAAAGGGGAACGGCACCGTCGTCTATTTGCGCGTCGCACGTATCACTTCGATTGGCAGCAGCCGTTACCGCCATAGCAAACAAGGAGTCAGTTGTCAAGCGTCCGGTCCGAGTCTCCAGCGAAACAAAGGCCGAGCCCCGAGCGTCCAGTCGCGTCTGTGTGTGTGTTTGTGCAGAGAAGCAGTCGCGAGCGAGAAGACAAAACCCCCGTGTAGTTCGTCGCGGAGTGAGCGAGCAAACACGCGACTGAGCGACTGAGCGAACATTGCCGAGAAGCCGCTCGATTGCCCACTTGTGAGCTCGATCTCCTCCACAGTCCAATTGCGAGAGGGTCAGGAGACTGCCACTCTATCCGTCGCGCGATCGATCGAGTCCTCTGTCGTACCCTTTTCGAGGCTGTTCAGTCCCTTTGAACACACACAGGCGACGCTTAGGGCTCCAGGCAGCACAACCGTTTGGGGGTGCCTCTTTTCACTCGAGCATGACTGTACGCCGCACAGAAGAGCTGCAGGAATGGATCTGTAACGTCACGGCGACGTCGAATGACCATGGCGAGCACTTGTCCATGATGCTGCGCGACGGCCAGCTGCTGTGTCTCTTGGCGAACGGCGTCGACCCCAAGGCGAATCTCAAGGTGAACAAACTCAACACGGTGTTCCATTCCAAGGCGAACATCCGCCTCTTTTGCGAGTGGTGTCAGAAACAGGGGCTTAGTGACAGCGACATTTTCCAGCCTGACGACTTGCTGGACACGGGGACGGACTTTGTCGCTGTGCTCGGGACGCTGTCCATTCTCTTCGACAGGTTCGGCACGATTGGCTACACGGGAGCATTCGAGGAAGACCCGGTGTCGGATGTCGAGTCTTTGACATCCACAGGCAGTTCGCAGGGCACGTCACCAGTCAAGCAAGTGAACAGCAACAACAAGCTCACGAACTTTATGAAGGGCGGATTTCTCTCGCGGAAGAAGAAACAACCGGGCAAGAAGACAGCCGAGATGTCGCCGGATAAAACACCTCCGTCGACGCCACCACCAATGTCACCTCAGGTGGGAGGCGGCATGATGTCTCCGCCAGGTTCACCACCGATGATGGAGCCGGTATCCCAGCAGCAAGTCAGGAGCAACAGTGGGGCCACAAATGCCAATCGTTTGAACGCATTTTTGAATCAAGTGCCTGCATCACGTGGGTCCCCATTAACACACGTGGAGCGTCCGACAGGTCCTCTCAAGAAGGTCAATACAGCCAAGAAACTGCCAGCAGCAAAGACCAAGACGCCACCTGTTGCAATGAAGCCGCCGTCTCCGAAACAACCTCCAAAATCGGTGCCTGCTAATGTGGACGCCCAGAACAAGCTTGCAGCTTTTATGCGATCCAACTCGCCCGTTGTTGAGACAGCGACTACTTCAGGGTTATGTACCACCGGGTCACCACTTTCTCCTACTTCGGGGGACAAGCGTGTCGTCTCGACCTTGTCCCCACCAAAGTCCGAACCTGTCAGAGGTCGCGGTTCCTCGAGTGAGCAGTTTGCGCAGCGTCAGGCTGCCTTTACAAAAGGTAGCAGCAGTCCGAAGCCCAAGTTGTCTGCTTCTGCTCCGATCAAGGCTGCTGTTGATCAGGGATCTACCAACAAGCTCAACAACTTCACGAAGCAGCAATCGCCCCCGTCGACTGCTTCTTCGGCGAAGCCTCGTTCTTCCAGCAAGCTCGCTGCATTCTTAGCGACGACGAAGCCTGTTTCTTCGGTTGCAACAGTGCCGTCCGCTGCAGCGCCAAAACCAACGCTTGCTTCGTTCAAACTGCCTCACAGCACATCGAATGGAGACCGAGATATCCCGAAGCCTGTGTGTGATAGACCAACACCCGCAACGCCTTTCACTCCGACGCCTTTCACTCCACGCCAGATGATTGAGCGCTCTACAGGTCGCGGTAATTACGTGCGCAAGCGCCAAACGTATTGGGTTCCTCCTAAGCGTCGCCGCAGCAGCTTCAGCCTTGAGAAGAAACGAAAGGGGTTCATGAACGAGCAGCTGGAAATAAAGGAAGAGCAGCTTCGTCAGCAGGCTGCTGGCGCTGGAAACAAGCAGAACTTGATCGTGCCTGGCGTGCAGTGCTACATTCCCGACAAAGAAGAAGTGTGGCTGCTTTCTGAGATTGTCGATTACAATGACCGCCGAAAGGAGGTGACAATCACGGCGTTCTTGGACTCAGGCGATTCAGAGCAGCGCGTTGTGGATCTCAAGAATCCGGATGTCATCCGCGCAGTTGCAGGTCCGACAGCGACGGAGGTGGAATCACTTCCGGTCGCCATTCTTCACGACAACCCGGAGGGTGTGGAAGATATGCGCTTGCTTCGGTACTTGAACGAGCCGTCGATTTTGTTCAACTTGAAGCAGCGGTTTGCCGCCTCGAAGCCTTACACGTACACGAATGACATCGTGATTGCAGTGAACCCGTACAAATGGATTGAGAATCTGTATGGAGATCACCTGCACGAGCAGTACTTGCGGCAGCCTCGCGATGCACTCTCTCCTCACGTGTACTCAACCTCAACGGCTGCCTTCAATCGCATGAAGGCGAACAATATGAATCAGAGTATTCTCGTGAGTGGTGAGTCTGGTGCTGGCAAGACCGAGACAACGAAGATCGTGATGAACCACTTGGCTAGCGTGGCTGGTGGTCGCAAGGACAAGACCATTGCCAAGGTCATTGACGTGAACCCGCTTCTCGAGTCTTTCGGGAACGCCAAGACTACTCGAAATGACAACAGTTCTCGTTTTGGCAAGTTCACGCAACTACAGTTTGATGGCTGTGGCAAGTTGATCGGTGCAAAATGCGAGACGTACTTGCTGGAGAAGTCGCGCGTGGTATCGATCGCTGAAGGTGAGCGGAACTACCATATTTTCTACCAGCTCTTGGCTGGTTTACCTGTCGAAGAACGGAAGGAGTTTGGTCTCGACCCTGACTGCAAGTACCAATACGCCGGGTCACTGGCAGAAATGCAGATCCCCGGTCTCGATGACAGCAAGTGGTTTGCAGGCACGCAGAAGTCACTGTCCACGATTGGTCTGGATGCTAGTGCCCGAACGGCGCTTTTCAAGATTCTTGCAGGTGTGTTGCTGCTTGGCGAAGTGGTGTTTGACACGAGTGGCGAGAGTGGAGCGTGCATATCGAGTGGTCCAGCGCTGGTCCAAGTTGCCAAGATGTTCGGGCTTCCTACGACGAGAATCGAAGAAGCGCTTTGCAATCGCACGGTCATTACACGCAATGATAGCGTGACTGTTCCCCTCGCTCCGGTTGAAGCGGCGGAAAACCGCGATGCATTGGCCAAGACGATCTACTCGAAGATGTTCGACTGGATGGTGGTAAAAATCAACGCTGCTATCAGCACGGACGAAAGTCGCATCAAGGGTCAAATTGGTGTGCTTGATATCTTCGGTTTCGAGGACTTTGTCCACAACGGGTTTGAGCAGTTCTGTATCAACTACGCGAACGAGAAGCTGCAGCAGAAGTTCACAACGGACGTTTTCAAGACTGTTGAAGACGAGTACGTTCGCGAAGGGTTGCAGTGGGACCACATCCAGTACCAGGACAATGAAGGCATTGTGGAAGTGATTGAGGGTAAAATGGGTATCATTGCGTTGATGAACGATCATCTTCGTCAGCCGCGTGACACGGAAGAGGCTCTGGTGAACAAGATCCGCACGAACCACCAAGTGAAGAAGAACGGCGACGCGAACGAGAGCATTGACTTTCCGAAGGTCAAGCGGACTCAGTTCATTGTCAACCATTACGCTGGTCCAGTCACGTACGAGACGGTGGGCTTTATGGAGAAGCATCGTGATACATTGCAGAAGGATCTGCTCGATTTGGTCCAGTTGAGCAGTCTGCCGCTTCTTCCAGAGCTGTTTGAAGACAGCGAAGAGTTGAGTGGAAGCGGAAGTGGACGGAGCAAGAAAGCTCCAAAGAGTCTTGGCTCTCAGTTCAAGACGTCGTTGGCGCAGTTGATGGACAACATCAAGACGACGAACACGCACTACGTCCGTTGCATCAAGCCAAACTCGAACAAGAGTCCGACGGAGTTCAACAAGCGCATGATCGTCGAGCAACTGCGATCGGCCGGTGTGATTGAAGCTATTCGCATCACGCGGTCTGGTTACCCAAGTCGATTGACTCCGAGCGAGTTGGCGACGCGCTATGCAATCATGTTCCCACCATCGATGCGCAGCAAGGACGTGCGCCGGACGTGCAGTGTCTTCATGACATCGATCGGTCGCAAGTCCCCGCTGGAATTCCAAATGGGCAAGACGCTTATTTACTTCAAGAACGGCGTGATGGAAGAGCTCGAGGCCATGAAATCGGATTTCATGTACTATGAAGCGCGTACGATCCAGCGTGTTGCACTGGGTTTCCTTGAGCGACGACGTTTGCGGAAGAAGATCCGGGCAGCCATTGTCCTGCAGTCGTACGCTCGCATGTCACTGGAGTTCAAAGAGTATCACTTCCAGCGCCGTGCCATCATCAAGATCCAGCTTGGCTGGAAGAAGTACAAGGCGATTCCGGTCGAGTCGGCGTATGACCGTTTTGACAGTGACCAGTGGGCAGGTGAGCTCGACGACATGGACAACTCGGACACAGACGAGGGGTTTGGAGACGATCCGGCTATGATGCGTGGAGGACGCCACCGGTCCGTGGCCGACCGGATGGAGTCGTTTAAAGTTGCTCACTCGGGTCGTCGTGGCAGCGTCAAGCGTCTCAATGAGTTGTCAGCTCGTGCAAAGAGCTTTATGAAGCCCCGCAGCGGCAGCGGCAGCACGTCGAGTTCGAGCGGCATTTCTCTCGAAGATGAGAACTCGATGCTGAAGATCGAGAACCGCAATCTGAAGTACGACCTCGAGTTGATGCGCGAGCAGTGCATTGAGCTGCAGGCGATCATTCTCGAGATCAACAAGAGCCGCAAGAGGTGAAGCGCCTGACGTGGTGGACACTTGTGCTGCGTGTTGAGCCCAGTCAGGAGGCAGCGGCAGCAGCAGCAGCAGTTTTTAAGTAAACGCCGCAGAGGCGTAGTATGTATGTAGCGATGATGATGAACGAGACGTGGCGGCCTTGTTCTTCGTTCTCTCCTTTGACCATGTAAAGACGTTGACCACGTTAGTCCCGCGTGACGTTCTTTGTTCCGTGACCGACAGACAGGGAGGGTCGTAGATCAGTTCAGAAGTAAGTCTCTATTTATAGGTTCACTGATAGAAAGGACATGGTCGTGTGTACATTGGATGGAGGTCGGTGTAAGAGCCAGTCGGATAGGCAACAGCCGTCGGTGTGAGTCACACGGATATGAGTGGCTCGAGGTGACTTTCCATCGGAGTTTGGTGCACGCTTTGCCGTCTTAGACGGTGGAAGATCGAGCGAGCGAGCGATCTGTTCGAAAAAACGATGCGGTTGCGTCGTGACTGCATCCGAGAGCGTCATTTGCTAGAAACCCGGTAGCAATGTCTTTGCTCATGTCCACAGTCAACCTGCAGCGTGCAAAATGTCGCCTAGAGGTTCGTCCGGTTCACTCTCTCTTTCTTTCTTTCTCGCTAGACTATGTGGTGGCTGACTTTGTGATGGATTTGCCTCGTGCGGATGTTGCGCCGATGTCAATGGTTGTGTCATCCATAGAGCTACTGGCGCCCTCTGATCGGTGGAAACCGACTAGCGGATCGGCTGAGTTTTCTGGCAAGATCCAGTGTGCAGGCGATGCGTCCACGTGAAAACAGCGACCTTGCGAGTGCGGGGATCGCATCTGTTGAGAAGGTTTCGCTGGTTCACGAGTCGAAGCTCAGTCCGACAATGGGAGACCTCTCTGAAGACATCGAAGCGGTTGTCAGTGTTGAGTACAACGCCAAACATGATGGTGGTTCCTCATCAGTGATGAAAAGCAGGAGATGCAGCCAAGAAACCGAGACTCGAGGTGCTGACCTTATCCGAGAGAATGATAACGCTGGACAGGATCAGGTGACACCCAGCGATGGTGCTGCTGCTCTCGAAAGTCCAACGCGTGATCAGCCAACTGGTTTGCAAATCACTACGGCAGGATTACAGCAGGTATCCTTCTCTGCGGACACAACGGGAAAATCATCAACCGTCCCGCCCGCGGAACAAACCACCACAGGTGTGAGTGCACTGCCGTCTGTAGATCACTCCGTCAGTTCACCATTGCAAGAGATGCCGTTTCCGGAAGAGATCTCCCGAGTCGCAGGTTGGTTGTGCGACATAGTACGATGTGTAGTCAGGAAATGCTGATGTGATGTTGTCGACACGCTCTGTAGGTCCAACACTTGGCTCTATCCTGCAACGTATTCACCTCAACGATGGCGATGTGAGCGAGCTCGACTTCTCGGCTCTGTCTCAGCACAACAAACGGCTCGAATCTGAAGGGTGTGCCCTTGTAGCGCGCTCTTTGACGACCAATTGCACCGTTCGGAAGCTTATTATTCGAGACCACGATATTGGAGACGGCGGTGCTGTCGCTCTCTCCAAGATGTTGTGCATCAACACGACTCTGGAGTACTTGGAACTAACCGGGAACAACATCAGCGATCGAGGGGCTGAAGCGCTCGCGCAGGCACTGTACGGACACGACTCGTTGACGCATTTGTGTCTGGAGAACAACTGGATCAGCGATCGTGGTGCTGAAGCTCTCGCACAAGCCATCCGTTGCAACTGTACGCTTAAATCTTTGGGCCTAGTACACAACCGAATCACAGGGAAGGGGGCTCAGGCGTTGCTTGACGCACTGGATGTCAACATGCATTTGGAGATCGTTAACCTTGGTGCAAACGACGTGCCGACTTTCGTCGGAAGCCAACTGGCTGCGACACTAGCACGCAATCGTGCCGAGTCTTTGCTGTTCGGCTTGCATGCTGCAGAGAAGGAGACAGACGAGGTTGCTGGCAAGGCCAGTGGATTGGATACAGAAGACGAAGATGAAGACAGCAGCGGGATGGAAGAAAAATGGGAGAGTGACGACGATGGGAGAGCGTCGAGCGGGTTTCAACACTGCTCGGAAGCGACGGACAGTCCCTCGAGCAGCAGCGGTCTTTGGATCTGAAAGTGCAGCAACCACTTGTGCATGAACTTGTGCTTCGCACAAAACGTGAGACACTTTAATGTATGTTTCGTCGCTGCATTGTTGCTCGTGATAGTGGGTGGACGTCGTTCACTATCACGTGTCCAAACTAACTCGTAAAAATCAAACGCGGTATATTGTTCCCATTCTTATACCTCCCATGTAACTTAAAGTGCTTGCTCAGGCGTGTGGCAAAGTGTGACATCCGGCCCTGTCTCCATCATCCATTTTTCAGCCCAGGCAACTGCATTGGCAGGTAGTTGCTAGAAAATGGAGTCCTGGTCTCTTTTGTCAGCAAAGGAAGTCTGTAGAATGTGCTGTGACGTCCTCAGCTTCCACCTTGTTGACCTTGAGATCCACCAGTTTCACCTCCACTTTGTCAATTAGGAATTGCCATCCCGACGCATGTGTAGGTGTGAAAGGCGCAATTGCAGCTATACCAGTAGAGCCCCAGCTTTCATGCCAGGTATCCTTGAGCTGCCTGGTGAGGTCCCAGTCGATTTGGTCAGCATCGTAGCACCCAAGCTGCTTCAGCGAATCATCATACCATTCGTTACTCTCAGTCGTGTCCTTACCGAGGGGAGAGAACAAGTCCTGAATGCGGGGTGCTGATTGCCCTTCTGATCGGCACTTTGTGACGCTTTCAGACTGCACTGATGGTGAGGTTGCCCCAAACTGCAGAGTCACTTGTGTACTTGCACCGTAATCAAGCATTTTCCAATTTGCCATCTCGCTGTTGCTTCTTCCATCCGATATTTCATCAACTGATGGTGCGAAAATGGGTGAAATAGCCAACGTTGTGTTAACCTGTACACTTCGCCAGTACGCCGATGGCGGAGATACCAAGCGATCTTCCACTTCAATCGGCACCGGGCTACAAAAAACACTATTGTCCCTTATATCAAACTTCGATTCGCACGTGGAGTCATCTCTCTTGTGCAATCCAGGATCTTGGAAGGCAAATAACACCCTCGGATTTGTAAAAATGTTGTAATTAAATCGGGCATGCTTTCGGGGAAAGCATTTGTCGCGCAGATCATACGATAGTCCAAGCGAGGTGTCGATCATATTACAGCTTACCAACACCGCCATGACATCGTACACACGGCGGTGCACATCATTGTACGGAGTCTCTATCCATGGTGAGCTCGGCTCCATTACAGCGAACAGCTTCTTCGCTTCAATGAGACGGCTGCTGACAGCCGGCAATGTCACGCCCATCTGATAATCTTGCTGAAATAGCAGACCCAGGAAGCAAACCGTCGTCGTTACCAAACACGGCCATTTCTCCACTGCTGCCTGTGTTTCGAAAACCTTTACGACGGCGCAGTCTTCTCCTACTCTATTGAGTATCTTTGGACGGCAGGACTGCCGAAACGTTTTCACCGCTTGAGCAGACACGTCCTTCATCTCTGCTAGACGCCGCACGACTGCAGTCTTCCCGAAGTACAGGAAGTAGCCGCCTTTATTCTTTCGCGTTTCGCCACAGCGAACGCGTTTAATCACTCCGATGCCTGCAGTAGACACAGTCCCTGTCAACCTTCACTCTCTTCTACCACGTTGTATGCTGTACATGAACTTGCACGTAAACGGATTTCTCGCACCTTCCAGCACGTGCAAAACGTCATAGATCCGTCTCTTTCTGGGCACTACGCAGACAGTATCAACAACAGAGAAGCCGTTACGCAGCCACCAGGGCGAAGATGGAAGACACACACAAGCTGTGCCCACCCTTCATCTTGTAGATTTCACTCGACGGAACGACGATCGGGAACACAGCGCCGGACACAGAGTTCTGCAGATCCTCGTGCTCCATGAAGAACCGCAACACAATGCGCGTGCTAGGAAGCACACAATCAGAAGCCTCAGCTTGAAGCACGCATCGATCGTCGCTCAACGACCTCTTGGACTCGACACACACGTACATTTCCCCCAAGCTCTTTGCTGCAGTGAACTGCTCTTGAATGTGGCTCCACGTCCCCTCAGCTCGATCCAATGGAGAGCATCGAACCGTGCTTCTGAGACGAGCAGGTGCTCGACGCGAGCGCAGCTGGCGCTTTCGTCGCTTATCGGGGTGCTTCGAGGCGCGGTCCACAGTCGCACTGGGGGCCGCGTCTGCTTTTGCAGTGCCAAAGCGCAGTTTGCGCCGGCGCACACGTTGCGTCTTCATCAACTTGTGCGGCAAGTGGCGAATTGAAAAGTGAGGACGAGGAGCGGCGCTTGAAGTTGAAGTGACATTCACTCTGACAAGAGACTGGATTGCACAAGATGAAACATGAGTGCCGAGTCCCTGTCGCTTTAGATAGTTTTGGTGCAAGGGTTACTTGTTACTAACGCAATGGAGTACGATGGCTCATCTGCTTGAGCGGCTCAGATTCAATGTAGGCAAAAGCGAGTAGTTTCTACCTCTGCCTCATGCACACGCCTGCTCTGCTTCATGCTTGCTCTGCTTCATGCAATGCTACGTTCATCGTTCTTTTGGATCGTTGCAGTTTGTCTACGCTATTCCGACTTAGTTCCACATCCTTGTCATCCACCTCTTTCGAGCGTATCCAGTATGGCGAGTGCTACCAATGGTCAAATGTCGCCTTTTATCGTTGTAATTGATGGTGCTTCTTGACAGACAACCTTGAGACCTTGAGTGCTAACCCTGCGAATGCAATTCCGATTTATGTGCTCAATATCGCATTGGAAGCCGTCACGCTCGTGCTCGGATTTTCCAAATTCTGCTCGGTATGTGCCACGCACGATCAAGTCGTTGGGGAGAGTGAGCTCGTATTGGGACAACAGAGAAATTAGCCGTAAAGGATGCTTTCATGAGCATTCAAGCGAAGTGATGTACACGTTTCAGGCGTGCTGAGCCGAATGGCAAGAACCGTACGAATGTGTCAGTCTGTGTCGTCACGAAAATGAGGTACGAAATAGGTGCAGCATAGCCAGCACACAGCGAATCATCCAACAGTGATACAAGAAGACCACATCGGTATCGTTATACCACTTGTGAGGTCACAGAGAACAAGGAGTAAGCGTGGCAACTGCGCCGACGCACGATTTCGGTTTTTTAGACTGGTATCTGAGTTGCACAGTGAATAGAGCCGTACGGTGTAGCCAGTCCCGTAAGTATTGACGCATGAATAGCATCGGATAAAACGCGCGCACCGACACTGACGAGCAGGAACGTCGTATGGGCTATTGATCTCGCCTGCAGAGGACGATGTCAGAAGCTATTTCCTGATCAAGACACAATTTTGACATGGCCACAGAGACTTGCTGATGATGATGCATGCGTTCATCGCGATTGGAAGGGCCGTGGTAAAACCATTGAACGTGGTGAGATGATTGTTCTACAATGCACAGCATGAGCGAATGCATCACACGTTATGCAGTACTGCTATCACATCGTTTCACACCTCGCAGTGGTGGAGGAGGTACCACGTTACCTCGTTCCGCGTATCCGATATGAGATACATACGTTGCATCAGGTGGCGAGAAGAACAAAAGCTCATCGATCACACGATGTTTTCCTTCAACTGTCGTCACTGCATCAGGCCTGAAATCAACGGCTCGATCGAGGTACAATCTACACCTCATACATTGATATCAGCCACATGCACGTCTGAGCAAGACCTGTACATGCGTACAGAAGACAGTACCTGGTTGCAACTCGTTCCAGTCGCAAGCTCCTCTCGACTCCCGAAGTGGCTTCCTCCTGTCTCCTCTTGTGCATCCTATGAGGTCTCCTGTATCTCTGGAAAGATGCGATCTCGTCCAGTGCTGTACCAGCAACGAGTTGAAACGCGAGCCAACGGGGACTGCAATGACTCCATCGCGCGAGACCGCGTACGTTTCGAGCGAGTCGCAGCCGCTTCACAGTCTCCTCAACTCGTGCATCGTACTCGACCTGCTCTTTTTGTCGAGCCTCGCTCAGTCGCACAGCCCTAGCGACTTCCTCTTTCACGACTTCAGCATCGTCTTCAGGCGTCTCCTCCCACACCGCTGCTGCTTCATCGTCTTCTGGTTCAGCTCGCTTTCTCTTCTTGCGTCGTACCACCAACCGCTCGTACCTGCTTCGTCACACGAGTTCGCTCAGTCCTCATGATTTGTAGTGCAACAACATGCACTCAATTGATGCGTGGAAAAATCGTCATCATACAGGCGGTTAAAATCGTCGCAGGTCGTGTCATTGGTCATTTGACCGACTTGTCCACCATTCCAATCTGAATAACCCCACCACGTCGCCGTTTAAAAAACCCATCCTTTCCACCCACTTGCTCATCAAACCAGTCGTTGGGTTTTATCAACTAAACATGCTGCGAGGGTCTCATCTACTGCATCACTTCGCAGCAACTCCACTGCGTCATCCCGCGATCCTCTTCAACTGCTGCTTCACCATCCGCTCCTTCTCTGCAACAATAAAATATGAAGATATTCACGACGACAAGAAGCTGGACGGATTACTCGAGGACTTCACCGACGAGATTGACGAGGAGGCTGCAGATGATTGGACGCTGGACACTCGTGACGGCGTTGAAGAGCACGTGAAGCAAAAGGTGCGCGTGCGTCGAGCGCAGCACTCGAATCGCCGCTTTGTGGACCGCATTCGCGTCAAGGCGACTGGTGGGCACGGTGGAAATGGCTGCGCGAGCTTCTTCTCCGAGTCGGCCATGCGCAAACGTCCGAATGGAGGACACGGCGGCGCGGGAGGAGACGTCGTGGTCGAAGCTACTGACAAGATGCAGGACTTGAGTAGTGCGATGCACCACTTTAAGGGTGGAGCAGGAACAAACGGCTTCCGTAGGTGACACGGAAGAGGAGCGGGTGGGGCTAATGGTTGTGGGGGTACAATTACTTACTGAAGTGAATGTCTGTGTGTACGTGTGTGCATTTGACAATGGTTGTGTCCTTTAGCGAACGATTCTGCTGGTAGAAGAGGCAAGCATTGCCACATGAAGGTGCCGTGCGGTACGCTGATTAAGCGTGTGGAGCGCTACGAGCGTGAGTTGGAGAACGGCGAGTATGAGATTGTGGATAGGATGGAAGCCGTAGCCGATCTGGACAAACCTGGTGCTACATTTCTAGCTGCTAAAGGTGGCAAGCCGGGACTGGGGAATCGGATCCTGGCAGGCAAGACGACGAATTTCGGTCGTCTACGCAAGCACATGCCGGAAAGCAAAACCACCGGTCAACCCGGCACCTCTCAGTATTACGAGCTGGAGCTTAAGACTATCGCTGATGTCGGTCTTGTAGGCTACCCGAACGCGGGAAAGTCAACGTTGCTAAGTGTGCTGAGTCGCGCTACACCGGAGATCGCCGCTTACCCTTTTACGACGCTTCACCCGTATGTGGGAATCGTGGAATTTCCGGACACTTTTCGATTGAGCGTGGCTGATATCCCGGGGCTTATCGATGGAGCGCATCGCAACGTTGGTCTCGGCCACGATTTCTTGCGCCACATTGAGCGCACTAAGGTACGTAAGAGGAATGCTGTGTTTTATCTACTGGCTAGTATATCTGAATTGTGTGCTTGATGTCTGAACATGTAGATTTTGATGTACGTTCTTGACACGGCGGGCTCAGAAGGACGCGATCCTTTGGATGATTTTCGACATCTTCAAAGAGAACTGGAGCTGTACGCCCCGGGCATCTCGTCGCGCCCTTCCCTGATTATTGCTAACAAGATGGATCAGCATGGTAGGAAATTTATTGCACTTGGCTGTCAGATTACATTCGTAGAATCCCATGTGATGTGTGTATGCACTCTGACCCGGTGTTTGTTATAATAGGCGCCGAGGACAATCTTTTTAAGTTGCGTCATTTTACCGATCTTGCTGTGCTTCCAGTCAGGTGAGATCTATACCTTACAGTTGCAAGTACTAGTAGCCCTGCTAATGAAACCTGTTGTAATTCTATCTGTTGTTTGATTGTATAGTGCGCTCCATAAGGTTGACATTGATACGATAGCACGCACGCTCCGCTGGATGATTGAGAGCTACAATAAGCTCACAAAGTCAATATAGTACGGGTGACACCTGCTATGGTCAAGGCCTTTGCAACACGGTGCTACTTCCAGTTCATCTGCTATCGCTTACTGGACGGTTGTTACGATGGCGGTCATGTTCTCAAGTCGAAGATCGGCTTTGTATCGGTTCGACCATACAACAAATGCTAGTGCGCCCTTACGTATCCTGGCGACAAAAACATGCTCAGAAAGCCGAAACTGACTCCGTGGCGGCCCTTCGGCGCGTTGTAACAAGCTCGGAGTCTTACGAGTCCTAGTAAGCGTATAACTAGCGTACATCATTATAAAAAGTTACAGCACCCAGGACATTAACACCAAGTTACGATCAATTCAACAACAAAGACAATTGCAGTTTGGTAGATTCATCAGGCACACTGTTCTTTTCAACACTCACTCAACTGCTCTTTAAGACGCTGGCAAATGCGCAATTAAAACTTGAGTGCGTGGGCGCGGTCGCTCTTTGTCAAGGTGAACTTAGCATTCAAGTAGGCCTTGAGGAACGGCTCGGCGTCAAGCTTCTTGATAAGAGCCGAGTCCACTGCCTTCTGGTCCTTCTTGCGCTGTTCCGAGATAACAGGAGCCTAAGAAACAGGACCACAATTAGTCTCTTGCAGGAACTTGTGTGCCGAAGCAAGCGATCCCAAGCGCTTTAGGTGGGCTCAGCGACATTAAAGATCATCACACTCTCCGCCAGTTCCACCGTGCAGGAAGCAGCCCAGCAATGTGAAACAAATGATCCTGAAAGAATCGACGATTGCATCCCACACGACTAGACCACTCCGTCGCGGTTTATACGAGAATCGTGTGATACGATCTCGGAGACCGACCAGCGGAAAAGGATTGCTCAACATATACCAGCAGCAAGAAAATGTAAAATGAGACGTACGTTGTTTGACTGATCAAAGAACTGCTCCTCTTTGCTCTTCTTGGCCGCCTTTTCACGAGCAAAGTAGGCATCGTCAACGGCTGGAAGCTCCAGGCCCTCAATGTTGATCTTGGTCGATGTGGCAATCACAAACGATTGGTTCACACGACGAAGCGGTACGCCATTAACCTTGTAGGGGCCTACAGCACAAGTATCCCAATCATAAAGTAAGTGACCACATTTCCACCTGCGACTATATCGACCTGAAACTAACAAAAGACAGCATTCCTCAGGTCTCATAATCTGATGGGTCTTTGACAAAAAATCATCCCTCCTCATCCGCAAACCGCCCTCAATGTTGCAAACAAACCCGCAGCCGCATTTCTCGTATTTCACCAAAATGACTCGATACAAGAAAAATGGAGCGAACATGGCACAACGAGACAGCAGCAATCGAGGTAGGGGCGGCAGTTTGTCTCTCAGTTGTCAAATTTGCATCATTGGAATGCCGTCTCCTGGACTGACGATAAGGTGTAGTTTCTTACCCGTAACAAGCAGGAGACCCGAAGCCAGTTGGTTAAGAAACACCACACGCTTGCCACGGAAGCGACCCGAGAGCAAAATGAGTACTGTGCCCGGGGTGATGGACTTGCGCAGCTTAGCGGTCTTCACGCTGTTGCGCTTGGTCTTGGCCGACGGCAGCGGCTTCGGGATGTAGTCAGCCGGGTACCACTTCTTAGTGGACGGTCTCTTGACAGCAGTGACCTTTTTTTCGCCGCCCTTCTTGATCATCTTGCCGCGGCCATTCTTCTTAGAGAGACTGTTGCGCGAGATGGCGTTGATGCCACGGGCGAGAACGACATTCTGCGTCTTGGAAAAGGCCATGGTGATGAATTTACCTGAATGAAAAGTTGGGACTAATGATTAGAATTGGAATGGCGTTTCATGCGCGACAACAACAGCACACATGTGTCTTACCTGTCTGAAAAGAACTGAGCGCCTGGAAGCGGTCGAACAGGTCTCGAGAGACAACGACAGCCAACCACAAAGTTCATGTATTACACATCAGATAAAGAGGGGGTACGAGGTACCATTCTGCGCGCTCAAGGGGGTTTACGTCAAGTGAACCGGTTAAGACGGAGTGGGACTAAGTGAAATGTTAATATAGTTGCGGTATTACACTATAGTTATGGTGCAATACCGTTGTTTCACACCGCTGTTAAGACAAATGTGCACAATGTATTCGAAGCTGCGAACCTGCCTTCATTTTTAGGTGAATTCCCTCATTTTGATAACGATTTCTGCCTATTCATATACCGAGATTTTATTCCTCTATTATACCCTGATTTGCAAAAGAGGTATTGATTAGACAGGGTACACAATGATTTCACATGAATCTCAAAAAAATACTTTTTTCCAGACAATAATCGACAAAAGTGGTGGGTGATGCAGCAGGCTGTCAGTTACACAAATAGCCCGGGGTCAAAATCAGCAGCGATCACACAGACAGAAGCCTCGCAGGGGGAAATAGAAATCGCCACGTAAGTCCTTTTATTTCAGATTAATTGCGATACACATAAGAAAAGCGCTGCAAACACAAAATGAAACGCCCCTATTTAACGAGTAGATCGTCAAGCTCATCTGCGATACCAGCACCATCTGCGTCATCTAAGACTTCTTCGTCAGCACTCACCCATTTACTCTGGAAGAGTCCACCGAACTCATCGTGTAACGGGGTAGCCCGTTACATGAAATTGACACCAAACGGTGTCAATGTATTGTCTAGCCTGACAATATTCTACCAATATTATCCGAAATAGATATGTTGAAGAAATGTTATTCCTGTAACGGGGCACCCTGAAGCTTGTACTGGTGACAGTACAAGCTACTTCTTCTGATAACAGAATAAGGCGGTGCCTCGTAACTTCACGTACACTCGTACGTGCAGAGGAAGACGGTAAGAAGAAGCGAGTACTTGGTTAGAGTAAAAAGTAGAACTGTATTTATAATAGTTAATGTCTGCAATAAATCACTATTTATCTTCATCTAACTATGTCTAAATACAAATGTGTAAATCAGTTATCTGCTCACCACTCATTGCGTGCGTCTGTCGTGGCGCGTCTTCGTTGGTTGATATAATGGCCTATATCAACCAATTAGGAACTGCTTGTAAGTGCTACAGAATATTTGTCCTTATGACAATATTCTGAGAATATAACTCTTATAGTTATATTCTATCAACAATTTCTTATAAATTGTTATGTAACGATTCACCCCGTTACATCACCCCCCCTTAACCATCAGTCACTTTAGTGACTGATTGACTAAATGGATACTCGTCCCAAATCATTTGGGACAGGGTTTGCACTTGTTGGTCCGCGTCCACTTTCCAACATTTCATCGCATGGTAAACAAGCCCATGCGATGCGCGAGCAAGGCCGCCGAGAGCGCGTCTGCACGTCTCTGTGCGGACGCCGAAGCAGAAACCACAGCAACTGATGCCCCATCGGTTGCTGAAGAGACCCAGCCTGTGTCGCTTGGTGACGCAGGCGCTGGTCATGAAGACACTCGTGTCTTTACAGAGTACGAGCTCGGTGTCTCGTACTCTCCTGATACGGATGACGGATCCGTATCGACGGCGATTGAATCTAAGCCGCCTGCCAAGCGTGGCATGGACGATGCTTTGCGTCGCAGCATCTTTGGTTCATCTGATGAATCAGATGAACCATCGCCGAAGCGAAGGCGCTCGAGGTCGCGAGACTCGGGCGCTAATAGTGGTGTCGGTTCTCCAATGGACACCACTTCACAGCGAGGTGCCAGTACTTCTGTCGGCACGTCGCAGGAAGAGCGGGACCGCAATGTGTTGCGTCTCGCTCCAGAAAAGAAGGCATGGATGCCTCCAAAATCAGTCATGGATCACTTGTCGGCGACGACGAGTGATCGTTATCGAACACGATTGTTCGATTCGTCAAGGATCCATCACCTTGACCCCAGCGCGAAAGACTATCGCGCTGAACATGAGTTCTTCATCGATGCTTTCTTCAGACATCGATGGTACAGTGGGAATCACAAACGTGATGGTCCCTCACTACTTCAGGCGTGGAACGCCTACATCCATAACCTCGAGGATGTAGGTCGTGACGCTTGGAACGACAAACTTATCAAAGCTCGTGATAAGTTTGAAAAGCGAACCCCGACAGGTGCACGCTACAAGCTGCATCGTCTGTCAAGGGAGAAAGGATTACCCTGCCTCTCTTGGGGAGACTCGTGCCCATGTTGTGTGAACAACTCTGCACGAGCACCTAAGGAGGCTTACCTCCTTACCAGCCCGTGGTGGCGCGTACGTGTCTCTACTGAGATGTACGAAGGGATTGACAACCTGAAATCTCTTTACGACCGTGCCGGGAAGGCTTTCTCCGGCGGTCCTTCTGCGGCACAGGATGTGCCGCGTCGTACTGCTCAACCAGACCCAGTACGTCGATCATCAGTTGGGAGCGGGGCTCCCAAGAATCCCAGGACGGGGGATAGCCGCGCCACCGGACGAGATAACTCGTCCGACGTCCGTTCACGTCGCGGTGGTTCAACAGCTGCTCAACTAGATAGCGCTGGCCACCGCGAGAGTCCTCTAATGGAGGTGGAGGAGGAGGAAAGACGCTCTCCACACGATCATGTGGATCGGTGTGTTCCCGAGAGCTTCTTTGATCGCGTAACGCAAGGGTTACGCGACGATCTCGAGCATGAGCGGAATAGGCGTCTCCAGATGGTGGACACTGCCTCGAAGCATCGAGCTGAGTTTGCCTTTGCTCAGCTTGAGAACGAGAGATCTCTGACATCTCTTCGTGACGAGCTAAGGGTATCTCGTGGGATTGTTGATCGGTCTCGGGATGAGATAGCTGCTCTTCAGACCCTTGTTGATGCCCACCATCGGGAGCACAAGGCTCTCTGCGAGATGCTTGAGCGCAAGGGCGTTCTTCATCGGAAGAAGCAGCGTACTGATGGTACGGCTTAAGCCGACCAACGTAAAACGTGGGATGCGTTCGCATCTTACGTGGTAACTCGATCGTGTATGCATTGCCTAGGCGGTGCAATACACGAAATGGGCCAATGTACTTGGGTAGTAGTTTACTGCTACCCAAGTTAGTCACTACATGCTTTGGTAGATTAACCGTAGACAGTAGGACTAAGTCACCTTTATTAAATAAAAGAGTGTTTGCCCTTCCATTCTTGTCAGCGTTTTGCTTTTGCTTATCCACCGCTTCGGCGATGGAGTCTTGCACAAAACGGACTACCGTTTCACGAGCCAGTATGAACTCATCTGATGACTCGTTAGCTTCAGTGCGCTGTGAGCGCACTGCAGCAACAACAACCTTTTCTTCAGTGAGGGCTTCCGCACTCTCACTGGGATCATTGTCTTCAGTGAGGGCTTCCGCACTCTCACTGGCATCATCTTCTTCGATATCGATGTTATCGATATCGGCATCAAACGCAATGACTTCTTCGTCAGAGCGTGATGAGCGTGAACCAAATCGGTTTTTGCTCGCGCGAGTCCCTCCCCCCTTAAACCAGAGTTACACTCTAGTAAGGTGGGTACACGCGGATGGCGCAAGCCATTCACGTAAAACGGTGTATGTGTCGTGGACGCATGCACCGAGTTGTTGATGGCAAACTCTACCATTGGCAAGAACTCACTCCAACTCTTAAAGGAGTGTACGTATCCTCGAAGTATCTCTTCAAGGACACGATTGGCACGTTCCGTCTGACCATCTGACTCTGGATGATCAGATGTTGACATCTTCAAGCGCGTTCCGAGTGATTTGAACACGGAACGCCAGAAATCAGCAGTGAATCGTGGATCTCTGTCTGATACGAGTTCACGGGGCAACCCATGAAGTCGGAAGATGGTGTCAATAAAGACACAAGCACAGCCACTTGCCGTGATTGTCTCTGGTACAGCCACAAGGTGTACCATTTTGCTGAATCTGTCAACAAATACGAGAATACCCGTATTCCCGCGTGCGTCTTTGGGTAACCCGAAGACGAAATCCATTGAGATGGATTCCCAGCACTCAGCCGGAATCAGCAGAGGCTGTAAAGGTGCACGCAGTGAAGGACTTGACTTCACTCGTTGGCAGACTTCGCATGCGCGAACATACTTTCGCACAAACTGATACTGGCGGGGCCAGTAAAAGTCTCGACTTACCGTGAGATATGTTTTCTCTCGGCCACGATGTCCTCCTATAGGAGCATCGTGATACTCGAACATGATCCGCAAACGCAGATCAGTATCATCTGGAATGACAACACGTGGTGTGTCACCAGAAACGGCTGTATAATACAGTAAACCGTTACGAGTAGTGTATCGATCTGATGCAGATCGATACGCAGGCGACAATCGTTTCAACGATTCTCGGGATGGTTGGGAGAGATGTGACAACAACTTCACTATCTCACCATCTTGGGCGTATGCCCGCCTCACATCATCATACAGCATTGTAGATGGAACTGAGGACGTCATAACCGCAACAGTGACTGTCTCACTGTTGGGTTTCGCGACTGTTTCGAAGTCGGGACGACGTGAGAGTGCATCAGCGACGACATTAAGTCGTCCTGGTTTGTACTCAACCGTAAAGTTGTATTCTGCAAAGAATGACAACCACCGCGCCATTCGTTGAGAAAGGTGCGGGCTGTTCACTGCCGTGCGTAATGACGCATGGTCAGTGGAAACAACGAAGGGTCTATCTCCTAATAGATAGACTCTGAACTTCGCGAGTGCATACTTCATGGCAAGGAGTTCCTTGTCATGCACTGGATAGTTCCTCTCAGCTGGTTGCAGCTGACGCGACTGATAGCAGACGACGCGTTCAACGCCTTCAAGATCGTACTGC